AATGAAGGGAAAAAAAAAAAAAAAAAAAAGAGAGACGAAGATTCGCTAACACGCAGCCCTCCAGTCCATCTTTAGCTCCATCAACGCCATGCCGCAATATCAAAAGTACTTTCACCACACCGAGCTTGGCTCAGCCACTGGCATGCAAGTTGTTTCCATCTTCCAGCAGTTTATGGCTTGTTGAAAAAATAATTCTGATAAACCCCCTCGGCAGCATATTTATGATTTACACAATCGGCAACATGATTGGCTCCCTTTTCACCGGCCCCATCTGCGACCGCTTCGGCCGCCGCGCCGGCATGATGACCGGCTCCGTGCTCATCATGGTCGGCGCCGCGGTGCAGACGGCCGCGCGGTCCAACGCGTACCTCCTCGGCGGCCGGTTCGTGCTCGGCTTCGGCGTGTCCATCGGTACGTCGTCGGCGCCGACCTACGCGCTGGAGTTGGCGCCGCCGCAGTGGCGCGCCCGTGTCGTTGGCTACTACAACACCTGTACGTCCTCAAAAAACCCTGCCGTCCCTTCTCCCCCCCCCCCCCCCCCCTCGCCACCGGCGTCGCCTACGCCGCCGTCAAGTCGCCCGGCGAGGAAGCCTTCCGCCTTCCTCTCGGCCTGCAGCTCCTCCCCCCCGTCTTCATCTTCGCCGGCGCTCTCGTCATCCCCGAGTCCCCCCGGTGGCTGACCATGTGGGGCCGCAAGGAGGAGGCTGCCGCGGTGCTGGCCAAGTACCACGGCGGCGGCGACATGCAGCACCCGATGGTGCAGCTGGAGCTGCGCGAGTTCGAGGCCGGCCTGGAGCTGCAGCGCGCCTCGAGCGTGTGGAACTACTGGGGCCTGGTCGACTCGCACAACGCGCGCTGGCGGTTCGCGATGATGGCGTGCATGTCCGTGTTCGCGCAGCTCAGCGGCAACTCGGTGCTGACGTACTACCTGCCGTCCATGTACAAGCTGCTCGGGGTGAAGACGCCGGAGAGGAAGCTGCTGTTGACGTTTGCGAACACGATCGTGTCGGGCGCGGGCGCGGTGGCGGGCTCGGCGCTGAATGATAGCGTGGGACGACGGACGAAGCTGTGGATGGGTAGCATTGTCCTGGCAGGCCTGTTTGGCGGCGTCACCGGCTTCTCCAGCTACTTTGAGGGCGGCAAGACGGACGTGAGCGCCACCATTACCAACGGTGGCATCGCCTTTGTAAGTGTCGGCCCCTGCCTGTTCTCACGAAGACTTGGCATGGGTGTCTTGCTAATAAAGTTTCTCGGCAGATTTTCCTCTTTGGCTGCGCCTACTCCTTCATCTACACGCCTCTCACGGCCACGTACTGCGCCGAGGTGCTATCCACCCCGATGCGAGCCAAGGGCATGGGAATCGTGAGTTGCTTCCAAGCTTTTTATTCCTGGTGCGTGAGAGTTGAGCTAACCTGCCCCAGCACGTCATCCTGTCCAACTGTGCCAACCTGTACAACACGTACGTCACGGCCGTCGCGCTCGAGGCCATCGACTTCCGCTACTACTTCGTCTTCGTCGGCCTCAACCTCGTCTACGCGGCCGTGTGGTTCTTCTTCGGCGTGGAGACGCGCGGCCGCACGCTGGAGGAGATGGAGGAGGTCTTTGACGCCAAGTTCCCGCCGCGGGCGGCCCTGCAAAAGGCCGTCATGGTCAAGCAGCGCGATGGCCACCTGGCGGACGTCGGCGCCGGGGCGGCAGGCGATGGGGAGCGTGTCTAGTCAGCACAGTTGTAACTATCTAGCCGTTGGATTTCAACCTTGGTCTTCGTGTGAGCAAGATGATAGATAATGATTGCCTGAAACAGCCAAGACAAGACGGACTGGTTCAAAGTTTCCTATGCGGCCTGGCGTCAGAATTGGTGTCAGTTGGTGAAATGAGACGAAACTTGACAGGCAGCAAAAGTGCAACCACGGGTGGATATATACCCATATTCTCTGGAAGGTTCGAAGAAGCCCTACCAAGCGTGCTGAGGGTTAAACCCGGGTGAGGTTGCTTCCACCACATTCCGGGGTGGATTCAAGTTTCAAGTGCCGGCCCTAACTAGTCTCACCCACGACCCGGCGCGGAGCATCGGGCGCGCTCTTGAGTCTTTTTTCCTCATTGGGGATGGATTCTGGAGGCGGCTCAAAATCAGTAGTCCGGTAGTGACTGAAAATCAGCAGTCCGGGAGTGGCTGGCTGGCTCCCCCGGAATATCCGGAATGGGTCGAGGTCGAGGTTGTCCGGCTTCGACCATGACGCCATCGCGGGTCGGAAATATTTGCTAGTCAGGGCCGGCACTCACTTCTCGAAGAGAGAAGAGAGGCATCTGGCGAATCACTGTGGTGACTGTCACTCGTTTGAGCAAAGCAGCCCACCAACAAGAACGCGCATGGGTATAGCATCGCAGTGAGGCTATACTGAACTTGCCCTCCCCCCGGTCGTGCCAAAACATCGTCACAGGATGCAAACGGGGACCAATGGCTTCTGCCATCATATTCAAACACTTGTGAGCATCCGGGACAGAGCAGCGAGAAGGGAAGAAAACAATAAGCTTTAATGGCGCAAGCTTTGGAGGTCGCAACTGAAACCCCATCAGCTCATGCTCATGCACTTGCAGTTAGCTGGGGGAGGAGTCAAAAAGAAGCTTCAATTTTGCGTGTTTTTTCAACCTTTTCAGAGAATTTCTCGCCGGGACATTTCCGTCGGGAAAATTTATTCCCCCAGCCAACTAAGGGAATAAGTAGCGAAAAAGCATGACGATTTGCGGGCATAATGTGTTCCTACGCTGTTCGTTGAAACCGGACTCATGCATCCCGCGTTTCATCGCCGAAACGGTGATCGCTGACCCTTGTATGTGATCCTGTTATAGGAACCTTATTCACAAAGGGCAATTCAATGTGTAAGTCATATTTTTTATGCTTTTTTTTTCTAAAAGGCATGTTTATCTCGCACAAGATATATCATCTTATAAGTAGTATGGAGGGTCATCGTATAAGTACAATGGAGGGCTCCTGTTTACCGCCCATGATCAGATCAACTGCAGATCTCACCCAAATACAGCGTTTCACAGGAAAGAGCAGGCTTGTCCTTGCCATCCCCATCGCTTCACCCTTTATTTGAGCTGGTTCTCGTCCCTCTTCATCAGCCCATCATGCTGCCGACCCTCGCGGTCCTCCTCATGGCCGCCCGCCCGGCCCTGGCCGTCGTGCACTATCGGGCGCCGCACCGAAACCTGCTAAAGACGGCCGTCCGGGCGCCTCCGTACTTTTCCTCGCTGGGCGTGCAGGCCAACGCCGAGACGGACCCTTGCGCGATGATCAGCCAGGCGTTCGAGGCTGCCAACAAGAACAAGACGTCCGAAGACGCCATCATCCTCGACCTGCGACCCTCTGTGGGCACGGCCTGCCTCAAGTCCGTCCCCGTGGCGACGGAGCAGAATCTAGCCCTGCTCGACTACCTGAGCCCGTACATCGACTACCAGAGCACGCTGGAGATTCTCAAGAACCCGCCGGAGGAGTACCTGCTCCCCGGGGTGGACATCATGGGTGGCATAGATGCCATGCGTAAAAAGCTACAGGGCAACGGATATGAGTCGCAATTCGAGGTCATGACGGATCTCCGGAGTCTGGTATGTAAAATATGGTCCCCTTTCTGGCCTTGGATGTCGCTAACAAAGACACGACCACAGTTTGTTGCCGCCAACGACAACCACTTTGGATACACGCCCGGCTTGTTCAACGCGTTTCGCCAGGTCCGCGAAGACTTTGAGTTTGTGTCCATTTCATCCGACGGACGGGAGCTGCCGGAGATCTTCGCGGTCCAGGACGTCTTCCCAGAAGGCAACGCGACCTTCACACCTTCCCCGATCGAAACCATCGACGGCGTGGACGTGTACGAGTTTCTGGAAAACGACGTCCTGCGCGTCGAGCAGGGCCATCAAGACCCCGATGCGAGGCTCAACGCGGCTTTCGGGTCCATCCCCGGCTTCGCCGCCGGCGTGGACCCGAGCGCGAGACTGGCCATCTTCGAGATCCCCGACAACTACACCATCGTGCACAAGAACGGCACCTCGCGCACCGTCGTCAACTCCCTCATCACTCTCCCCACCATCGATCTCTGCGGCATCCGGTCCGGCGATGAATTCCGCGAGCGCTTCGAAGTCCCGCCCCTCACTCCGCCCCCGCCGCCGCCCGGGCAGGAGGACGAGGACCGCAAGAACAAGAAGAAGCCGCCGCCACCGGAGCCGGAGCAGACCGTCCCCGGCTACCCGCCGCCGGTCGCCAAGCACTCGGCCAACACCGTGGCCAGCTACATGCTCGACGACCCCGCGCTGGCAAACACCACCGTCATCTCCTTCCTCGCCTTCGTCGCCCTCAACTCCGACGACCCCCTCGGCGAGGACTTTGACCTCAACGGGTTCGTGCGCGAGTTTGGCGACGTCATGGACCAAACCGCCGCGGCCGCGCGGGAGCAGGGCCGCCAGAACCTCATCATCGACATGTCGGCCAACGGCGGCGGCTCGCTGGACCTGGCCGACTTTGCGTACACGACATTTTTTCCCGGTGCGCCCTTTGACGCGTTTGACCGGTACCGGATGAGCGGCGGTGTGGAGCTGACGGGGAGGTTTCTGGACTTCCCGGACGCGTCGGAGCTGCTGGTGGGACCGGGGGCGCCCGGGTTCGGGCCGGACGGGGGGGATATTGAGACGGCGGAGGCGTTCTTTGAGGCACCGCAGATCAACGGGCAGAACGTGACGGCGGCGTTTCACAGGAGCACGGCGGTGCCGTACCTGACCGAACCGGACGTCTTCCTGCGGGGGTACGAGCCGAAGGGCCGGGGCGGGGGAGGCAACGACAACAACAATAATAATAACAACAACAACAAGAACAACAAGAACCAGCGCCAGCGCCGAAGCCGGAGCCGGAGCAGCGTCGGCGGACGCCGGAATCACATCAACCAGCTCCGAAACCGGAAAAACAACAAGAACAACAGCAAAAGCAACAATAACAATGATAACAGTAACAACAACAACAACGGCGGCGGAGGCGGCGACGGCGGCCAGCAGGCGCCGCCGTGGAAGCCCGAGAACATGGTTATCCTCACGGACGGCACATGCGCATCTGCCTGCACCATCTTCACCGGCCTCATGGTTCGCAACTTTGGCATCCGCACCGTCGCCCTCGGCGGCCGCCCCCTCAACAAGCCCATGCAAGCCATCGGCGGCGTCCGCGGCTCCGAGATCCTCAACAACGGCGACATCAAGGGCCTCATGAGCGAGTTCGCCGCCGACATCCAGCAGATGCGGGACGGCGGACGGGAGCTGCTCAGCACCGTGACGCGGGCGCTGCCTCCGCTGCAGGACGCGCCGATCCTGCCGCTGCTGGAGGACAGCGGCGGCGGGTCGGCGAACGTGCGCAACGCGCATCCGGGGGCGGACCCGGACGGCTTGCCGCTGCATTTCACCTACGAGGCGGCGAACTGCAGGCTGTTTTACACGCGGGAGATGCTGGCGGACGTGACGGAGGCGTGGAAGGCGGTGGCGGAGGCGGCGTGGGGAGGGGGGCGGTGTGTGGAGGGGTCGACGGTGAATGAGGACGGGACGATGGGGAATGGGACGCTGCCGTTTGATAGCAGCGTGAGGGGCAGGGCGGCGAGGATCCCGGTGCCGGGTGGTGAGACGGCGAGGATCCCGGTACCGGGTAATGAGACGGCGACGGCGACGCCTCCGGCTGTGTCCACGTCGGTGTCGTCGGTGTCGTTGACGACATCTAGGCTGGTATCGATAACCACGTCGTCGTTACCGGTGGCAGCCACTGAGACTCCATCCTGCTCGTGTTCGAATTGATAGACGGAAGCAAGTTACCGGCCGGATACCGGGAACCGAGATCAGGAGGCAGACGAAGGCTGAAACTTGTAGCGTGTCTGGTCTGATGACGAGGCCAAAGTACGAGATAGAGTTGAGATAGAAGCTGAGATTAAGTCTACTGTATTGTTTAATAAAATAGAGACGTACATGGTTGCTCAAACACCTCAGGATGCGTTTTAAGGATAAATTTTCCGATCGTATGTAGTACATGCACTGCCAGCTTCAGGGTAGCCTCGCGACGCAACCCACGAGTCTAGATCGACAAGGCATCTTGGCGCATACGTATATACAGCCTCCTGTTAAGCGCCAACATGTCTTTCTGTAGGGATGCGACTGGTTTGGAGGAAAAAGTGCCGATGATTCTCTGACAAATACCGTCACCGCAGCCGCCCTCCGACAAACCCGTAACCGTCACACCGGGCACGGTTCACCGGCTCAGCCACCACCACGGACCCCAAAAAGATCGGTGATGAATGAATTGGCAGCTCCGCCGCACAGCCGATCATCCCCGGTATCCGGCATCCGCTACACATCTCCATGGTCTGTCCGTGACAGGAACCATGTTCCAGAAAATCCGTGGCTGCGATGCTGTAACTCTCGCCGGTTTGACGTATGGCGTGTTGCACAGCCCTATTTACGCCTTGTCGTCTATTCCCAACTTCGCGTCGGCTAACTTGTCAGCACCGGCCATTCATCGGCATGTGATTACTGTTGGAAACACGCCCTTTTCAGTCTCATCCTCTACCCTACTACATCTTGGGGGGTGGCTGAGAAATGGGTGGCCGACGTCGCTGGGGTTCTCGGATCACACTTCCAAGATCGCCGCGTTTGAGGTGCGATAATGGGGGTGTACCACGTGTGAAAGGGACTTTATACTCTCAGCCTGAGGGATTTAACCTTTGTTATGCATCTTGCTCGGATATCGCAGCGTCGCTGTCCCCCGCCTCCTTGACAGCCCCCTCCCCTCGAGAGGAGGAAAGCCTTCGCCTCACACAACCAACCCTAACCTTGACGATGCTACGCCAAGGCCTGAATGACGACAAAAGAACTATCTGCACGGACTTGGAGCCTCGCGTCAGAGACGGAAAAAGGGCTGAGACTTCCATACACTACCAACGTCACACATCATAGAGGCAGAGTTAGACTTGATGACTCGGCTCCTTCACGACAACCAACAGTTCGGGCTGTGTCGATCCCTTGCGTCTTGGCTTCGTCTCGTCGTTTCACCGAGTGCGTCGAATTCGAGCACAGCATGTCAGAATCACACCTCTCTGGCGTAGCCGTCTGCCCAAGCGCATCTATCAGGCGCACATCTATCGTGTATATAAGTCGACTGTTGTTGCCCCATTCCGACCAACCATCTCAACCATCACAACCACCTCATCATCACCAATCCGACTAATAAGCTACCTTGATCCAACTTGACCATCTAATTCAATCTTCTGGCAAGATGCAGTTCTCTACCCTCGTCATCATTCTCTCGCTGAGCAGCGCTGGTTTCGCTGCCCCGTCCTCTGTGAGCAACAGTGTGAGTCTCAGGCCCTCTACATCATAGCAACAACCTTATCCGCTGACCCCCAAGCCAGTCATCCGCCGCGCCTCCTCGGCGCCAGGGCCTCACCGCCAAGCGTGCGGCCAACCAGCGCCGCTTCGACTCCGCATTCTGCGGCGTGGAGTCGGACAACTTCTTCCTCGACTGCCAGGCCGCCGGCGGGGACCTCAACTCGTGCAACATCGACGCCGACTCGGTCTTCAACGACTGCCTTGATGGCTTCATCGCCAAGAAGCGCGCGGCTGCCGCCAAGCGCGACGCTGACGAGCACCAGAACCACCGCCGCTTCGACGAAGCCTTCTGCGGCGTGGAGTCGGACAACGAATTCCTCGACTGCCGGGCCGTGGGCGGCGACATTGACTCGTGCAACATCAATGCCGACCTGGTCTTTAACGACTGTCTAGATGGCATCCTCACTAAGCGCGATGCTACTAAAGGTGGAAAAAATGCTAAGCGCGAGAATCACCGCCGCTTTGATGAAGCCTTCTGCGGTGGGGAGTCGGACAACTTCCTCCTCGACTGCCTGGCCACCGGCGGCGACCTCAACTCGTGCAACATCGACGCCGATTCAGTCTTCAACGACTGCCTTGCTGGCTTCATCGCTAAGCGTGATCCTACGAAGCGCGATGCCGCCACGGACAGGCACGAGAATCACCGCCGCTTCGACGTCGACTTCTGCACCGACGAGTCGGACAACTTCTTCGCTGACTGCCAGGCCGCCGGCGGGGATCTCAACTCGTGCAACATTGACGCTGACTCCGTCTTTAACGACTGCCTGGACGGCTTCATCGCCAAGAAGCGCGATGCTGCTGCCGAGCACGAGAACCACCGCCGCCTGGACGCCGCCCTTTGCGCGCAAAAGTCGGACGACTTCTTCTTCAAGTGCCAGGCTGCTGCCCTGGCCGACGGCAAGGACACGGCCCTGTGCTTCAGCGACGCTGATGCGGTCCGCAACGACTGCTTGAACGCGTCGTGAGGCAGTGATGGAGATGAAAGCCCTGCCTTGCTACGAGCGAGGATGGGAGATTTTTAAGAGAGGCCAATAGTGTAAGGATCCATGCAACGGACTTGAGGCTGTGCCTTGAGTATCTTTATGTAATGTGGCTGTTTTCTTCTTTTTTTAGATAAAAAAAAAATAAGAGAATCTTTTTCTTAAAACTTTCCGTTCCATTCCGCTCCATTCGCTTCTGGTCTGTTTTGGGTGGAAGCGCCCCCGCGTCTGTGACATCTGCAGTGGACGAGGCGATTCAACTAACCTGGCAGCTGGCAAAACAAGACTTTTGAGTACCGATAATATGCATAAATATATGCATCTCCAGCCCTGCATTTACAGCGCCTCAATTCCGAAATTTTGGCTGCACGAGTCAGGGGGCGTTTCAGAATAGCAAGTACCTATAACACCGTGTTGGCTGGCGATAGCACCAGATTGCACAGCCGAGGTACCGCCGTTCAGGGAACCGTGGAGATGCTGCTGAAGAGCTGGACACTCACGTTGAGGAAGTTGAGTTGCTCTCTTGCTCTTGGCTTCATCAACTGGGATTCGTTGCCAAGGCAGACAGACAGCCCAAGCCCACGGAGGCGACGGTGTTGTACCATGTCTGTCTCGTTTCCTCTTGGCCAATAGCCAACATCCTTTGAGGAGCGCAAGGGACGACTTTTCAATGGGAGTTTTTAGGTGTGCATAGGTTGCAAATCCCGTGTCCCATCAGCCGGCATAATAAAGAACAGACGATTGCCGGGCTTACTCGGCATAGGAGTAGCCCTTGCACAATCACGGTGGTTTTATAAGCTCATCAGCCCTCAGACCTTTGGCCAGGGAAAAGACGGCTCTCCCGCGCCCAGCATGCAGATCCTGGCAGACTCCGACTCACGCGCCATCTTTCTTAAACTTGAGCCCCTTGCGTCACCACTTGCAAGTGGTTACGAATATTCCTCGTATGCATCTGAACTCTGCAGATAGTTGATAACTTACTCAGTAACTTACTCAGTAACGAGCTCACTTGTATGTACTCAGCCACAAAGGCATTCCTGCGACTACCCAATCAGGAAACACCCCTGTCTTGGACCTTGAGTCGCTCCTCCGTCAAGGCCAACACAAAGGACTGAGTCTAATTACGTCTCCGGAGTACCTCTATGAGCGGGTATTATCCCACATGTAAGGAAAATTATTCATGTTTTCTGCCGGCATTGGCGGTTTGACTCGTTATAGTCTACGCGGATAGGCCGAGCATTGACATGACAGAAGCTCTAGTATTGGTCCATCTTATCGTATTATCAGGAGGAGCGAGCTTCCACAGAAACGGGGGCTTTTTGCGGACACGAAGTCGCGTAGATTTACAGATACATGTATTTAAAGAGAGACAATCGCAGCTCACCTTGACACCCAAAGAAGCTTCATCACCACCATCTAACTAGTCACATCAACCTCACGACTCTCCCCAACTCAACCCAACACCAACGTTCAACCACCAAGATGCAGCTCCTCTCCGTCCTCTTCGTTGCCTCGCTGACCGGCGTTGGTATTGCCGTTCCTGCCGGAATTCTCGACGTACGTGCAAACATCCATCCTCCCTCAGCCCATCTCAGCCGAAGAGGGCGCCGCCACTAACACCTCCCTTTAGAAGCTCTGCGGCCCCAACTACGACGCCGACGACTGCATCGATCCCAACCAGATCTGGGGAACCGTCGAGGCGCCTACCAAGACCCCTCAGCCCACGGCCACCGTCACGCCCACGGCCATCGCCACGGCCAAGCCGCCCGCCGTTGACCCCGAGGAGGAGGTCTGCGAGGACGATGACGATGCCGCGCCCCCTCAGGCCACGGCCACGCCCCCAGTCAACCCCGAGGACGTCTGCTTCGACGAGTCTGAGGAGGTTTTCGAAAAGTGCAAGGCGGACGGCAAGGATAACCGCGCCTGCATCGCCGAGGGCGACAAGTCCTTGAACGACTGCAAGAAGAGGGTCAAGGCGTAAGACATGAGCGTGCACACAACCACCGTTCGCGCGAGGTCGCTTTTTTGGGTTCTCATTGTATCATATTAGATGGAAAAGAGATTCCATCTTGGAGGGCCAGGAAGGAGGGTACTGCTATAGGGACGCCAAGGCTTCTGTCGAGGCAGGGATTGGCTTAAGCGGGTAGCTAGTCAATCTTGATCTATCTTCTCGTCCCAGATTCGTGCTTCCGTATTGGACCATTGTAGCACAGATGATGTCGCTGCCAAGCATTCAAGACAGCCGGACAGCGGCCTCCTGAGAGACTGGTTGTACTGGTTGCGGGGTAGAGGCGGGAACCGCGGCTTTGTAAGTCCTGACTGATGGCAGAGTGAGGTTGTCTAGTCTATTTCTAAGATCTTAGTGATGGTTATGGGCCTGACTATTGAACCAATGAATTGCCGTCGCATGTTTCTTTCCAAGTCTTGACTGATAGTGACTAATATGCGGATTGGGTATTGGCAATTATCACGGTACATGCATTGCCGACGGTGTTACCGCAGTGGATATATATTGTTCTACCTCTACCCAGCACGGTTCCTTTCCCCCGCTTCCTGCCCCCATCTCGAAAACCACATCCGACCTCTCCTACACTATCGGTAGATATGGCATCCGCCGCTGAAAGCCACGTCGACGTACTCATCATCGGAGCCGGGCCGGCCGGTCTGATGATGGCCACGTGGATGGCCAAGTGCGGCATCCGAACCCGCATCGTCGACAAGCGCGGCACCGCCGTCTACACCGGCCAGGCCGACGGCCTCGCCAGCCGCACGCTCGAGATCCTAGACTCGCTCGGCTTCGGCCACCGCGCCTGGCGCGAGTCCAACCACATGCTCGAGTTTTGCATGTGGAACCCGGACAGCTCCGGCACGCTCCGCCGCAGCGACCGGCTCCCTGACACCACCCCCGGCCTGAGCCGCTTCCAGCAGGCGGTGCTGCACCAGGGTCGCATCGAGCGTTTCTTCCTGGACGAGATTGAGGCGCGGGGTGACATCCAAGTCGAGCGCGGCGTCATGCCCACGAGCCTCGCCATCGACGAGGCCGCCGTTGAGGACCCGGCGGCGTACCCGGTCGCGGTGACGCTGCGACGCCTGACCGAGGAGGAGGCGACCCCGAAGCAGCAAGCAGAAAACAGGGGGCAGCCGGTGCGGGACGGCCTGTTCCGGAGCAACCTGACCAAGGACGACACGGAGGACCTGCTGGCGGCGAGCAGGCTCGCCGGTGGCGCGGAGGAGACGGTGCACGCGCGGTATGTGCTCGGCGCTGACGGCGCGCACTCGTGGACGCGCAAGCAGCTCGGCCTCTCCCTGGAGGGCGAGTCGACCGACTACGTCTGGGGCGTGCTCGACGTGGTGCCCGTGACCGACTTCCCGGACATCCGCATGCGCTGCGCGATCCACTCGGCCGGCGCGGGCAGCATCATGATCATCCCGCGCGAGAACAAGCTGGTGCGCGTGTACGTGCAGCTCAGTGCGGCGGCTAGGCCCGGTCAGCGCGCGGACCGCTCCGGCATCACGCCCGAGACCATCCTCGCCGAGGCGCAGCGCATCATGGCGCCGTACACCATCACGTACCGCAAGCTGGATTGGTGGACGGCGTATCAGATCGGTCAGCGCGTCGGCGCGAAATTCTCGGTGCACGAGCGCGTCTTCCTCGCCGGTGACGCGGTCCATACGCATAGGTAGGCGGGCATTGATAGAGTGCAGGCGCTCGGTGACTAACACATCTCAGTCCGAAAGCCGGCCAGGGCATGAACGTGAGCATGCAGGATAGTAAGCACCAAGGCGGTCCATGCTCCCCGGAGGACAAGCTGACGGCATTCTAGCGTTCAATCTCGGGTGGAAGGTCGCCAGCGTCCTCAAGGGCCAGGCGAGCCGCTCCCTCCTCAAGGCGTACGAGTCGGAGCGGCGCAAGGTCGCGCAGGACCTCATCGCCTTTGACCACAAGTTCTCCCGCCTCTTCTCCGGCCGTCCGGCCAAGGACGACACCGACACCGAGGGCGTCCGCATGGCCGACTTCAAGGACACCTTCACCCAGGGCAACCTGTTCGCCAGCGGCACCGCCGTCGACTACGGACCCAGCGCCATCGTCGCCAAGGCCGGCGACCTGACCTCGGATCAGCGGCTGGCGCCCGGCATCCCCGTCGGCGTGCGCATCCCTAGCGTCAAGGTTCTCAGCCAGGCCGACGCGCGCCCGTGGCACCTGCAAGAGCTCCTCCCCAGCGACGGCCGCTGGCGCGTCGTCGTCTTCCCCGGCGACGTGCGCGACGCCTCCCGCGCGGAGCGTCTCCGCGCCGTCGCCGACGACTTCGAAGACGGCGACTCGTTCTTGACCCGGTTCACGCCGGCGGACGGGCCGGTGGATGCCGTGTTCGAGGTGCTGGTGGTGCACTCGGCGCCGCGCACGGCGGTGACCATCTTCGACTTCCCGCCCATCTTCCGACGCTTCTCGGAGACGGAGGGGTACGATTACGGCAAGATTTACGTCGACGACGTGTCGTACCACGAGGGGCACGGGAACTTGTACAGGGAGTTTGGCATCGCCGAGGAGGGCTGCCTCGTGGTCGTGCGGCCGGATCAGCACGTCTCGTACGTTGGGTCGCTGCGAGAGCCTGAGGCTGTGGCCAAATTCTTTGCCGGGTTTATGATTCCGCAGAACAAGTAGCAGGGTGAATGTTTTGTCCTTTCATGAACTGGGTTGCTGTGCGAATTGGTGGCTGGTAGAGGATGCGTGGCCCGGATCACAACGCATGACTGCTTGGTGGTTTCTCTCCTTGCCAAATTCCCACAAGGACAAGTAGCAACAACAACTGCAGCCTTTTTCTTCTTCTCGACTGTCTTTCAGAAGAGTAACGAGCAACTTTTGCCTTTGTAATTCTAGTCCAACCCGACTTATCGCCTGTATCGCGGGAGAGCACCCGGATGGCCAGGTGCCATCAGGGTCGCCTTTGATAGCGTGGGGATTGAGACGACACAAGCACCGAACACAAGACTGAATCACCAAATTGACCATCAGGGTTGTAAGGCAGATATGATATATAAGCATGGTAGTCACTCAGTGCGTGGGGGAGCAGCGCTTCCCGTAGCTTTCTTGGTGCATACTCGAAGCCCTTGACAACTTCAACAGCGCCTAGCCTCTCAAAATGACTGGACAGGATATCTACGACGTCATCATCGTCGGCGGTGGCGTCTGCGGCCTCGCCATGGCGGCTAGACTTCGCGAGCAGACCCCGTCGGCCCTCTTCACCGACGAGGAACACCGCCGCTTCCGCTGGATCCGGAAGCACGGCAACAAGGTCTCGGTGAAGCAGACAAAGAGCGGCAAGGTCAAGACGCGACGGCCCCGCACCGGCCCCGGATACAACATGATGGTGCTGGATTCCACCTCGGACCAGTGGCTGGCGCGCTGGCACTACCTCTTCCGCACCTACGACATCTCCCACCTGCGGAGCCCGATGCTCTGGCACGCCGACCCCTTCGACCGCGACTCGCTCCTGGCCTACGCCTACGAGAACAACCGCGAGGACGAGCTGGTCGAGATCCGCAACTGCGTGGGCAAGGAGGTCAGCAAGCACGGCCACAAGAAGGCGGCCAGCCGGCACTGCGGCGGCAAGTACGTGACGGGTCTACACATAAAGCGGCCATGCGCAGACTAATCCCGATGTTAGACAGACGGCCCGGGTCGCCATCAACGTGCGAGACAAGAACGACTACTACACGCCGTCGCGGGGCGTGTTTGAAGACCATTGCGCCTCGCTGACGCAGCGCTACGACCTCGAGGCTGGCGTGCTGCGGAAGGAGGCGGTGCAGGACGTCGACTATGACTATGTCGACGCGTTCCCCGACGAGGCCGAGAAGCTCTTCGCCGTGCGGACCGACCAGGGCACTCACTACGCGCGGAGCGTCGTCATGGGCGTCGGCGCCGCCAACGTGCCCTCGCTGCCCTCCATCCCCTCCATGGCCGCCGCCGCCCTCCCCTCCGGCGCGTACCCGCAGGCCTGCCACAGCCTGCAGGTGACCACCTTCCCGGACCCGCACCTCCGGCGGCTCATCGCCGCGCGGCAGCCGACCCACGTCGTCGTCGTCGGCGGCGGGCTGACCTCGGCGCAGCTCGCGGACCTCGCGGTGCGGCGCGGCGTGACCAAGGTGTGGCACGTGATGCGCGGCCCTTGCCGCGTCAAGCTGTTCGACCTGGGGCTGGAGTGGATGGGCAAGTACAAGAACACGGAGCAGGCGCGGTTCTGGCTGGCCGACTCGGACGAGGAGCGGCTGGAGATGATCCGCGCGGCGCGCGGCGGCGGCAGCCTGACGCCTGCGTACCACAAGATCATGAAGCGGCACGTCGCCGCGGGGAGCGTGCGGGTGTGCACCGGCACGCAGATCGTGGACGCGCGCTTCGAGGGCGGGCGGTGGAACCTGACGACGGAGCCGCCGGTGGAGGACATGCCGCCGGTGGACTACATGTACTTCGCGACGGGCGTGCAGACCGACTTCGCGTCGCTGCCGTACCTGCAGACGATGAGGGCGAAGCACCCGGTGCAGGGCTTCGGCGGGTTCCCCTGCCTCAACGACGACCTCATGTGGCGCGACGACGTGCCGCTGTTCATGGTCGGGCGGCTGGCGGCGCTGCGGCTGGGGCCGGGCGCGGCCAACATCGGCGGCGCCATGGTCGGCGCGGAGCGGGTGTCGTGGGCGATTGAGGACGTGGTGCGGCGGTCGCGGCGGGCAGGGGGGCCGGCGGCCGAGGAGGAGGGTGACGCTGAGGCTGGAGAGGAGGAGGAGGAGCCGACGATGGAGGCGTACCTCAGGGGCCACGGCAACATGTACAGCACATTGGCCTGTGAGTAGTTAGATGATGACGGGAGGAGAGGAGAGGCGAGAATGGGACTGGGATTTCGGGGAATCCGTGGTGTGTGTCCGTGTGTGTCTGCGTGTCTGTGTCCTTCCTGTCAACAGTTGCGAGCTGGTGTCCGTGACCGAGTTTAACCCGAGCCATATGTGAATGGAGGGGGAGCTTTGCAGCGGAAATCAAAGGTTCAAGGGTTCCGGGGTTTCTACTGGTCACTACCAACCGGTAACTAATAAGGTCTGACCGACCCGTTGACGATGGCAGATTAAGCTTTGACGCCGCTGCATGTCCCCCCGATCCTGTCATCGTCGAGTCAGTTTGTGGCTCTGGCGACTCGCGGCTTTGTTTTGCTTATTTTATTCTCTATCATTACGTATTTTATTGATGAATAAGCGGCTGCGGTTCATGCATGTTCCTGGCCGGCGAAACGTCGGGAAAGACTCGTTGTCATTTTACTTGTACCTTTTTACAGTGCCAGGATCAGGGCTCCCCCAGCAGCAGCACGTCCATTTTGCCAGGCTTTCAATGCATTACTACTGGACTGGTAATAGCAGAGGAGACGTCGAATCAACAACGCCATTTCCAAAAAGGAAGGCGGTTGAGTTCAATCCGCACCTCACATACACACAAACTCTCTCTCTCTCTCTCTCTCTCTCCGTGCATGCACAGCTGAAAGCTTCCGTGCATGCACAGCTGAAAGCTTGCACAGCTGAAAGCTCATGATAATTCCAACACTCTGTTCAAGACATCAGCCGAGGCCAGAGCCTCAAAGACGTCGAACCACCTCGCAAGCTTCTACAGTTCCGTCCTAGTGCTGCGCCTGCCCGCTGAGGATGGCAACCAACTAGCACCGTTGGAGTTGTAGGGCAGACAAGATCTCCAGCGAGATGAGGGGAAGCAGAGACACACCTAACCCTCAACGAGCTAGAGGAGTTCAGCCAGGTACGCCGAATTCAACGTGTGGGAAATTGCCGTGATGGAGTTGGTTCTCCAGGTCAGTAAACGTCTAGCAAAAAGAAAGGGGGGTTGAGTCTTTACGAATATAAAGTTGTCGGGTTTCCCTGAGCCTTTTGTTGGAGTTGTTGAAGCCTTCATCCGACAGCAGCTCTCCATCGCAACCCCCTTCTCAGCCCAGCCATCATTCGCCATCATGCACTCCAAAGTAGCCGCCGCAGCCCTCATCGGGCTTGCCTCCGTCGCCGGCGCCACCCCTGCGGCGCCCCGCGGCGTCCTCCCCGTGCACAACGATTTCTCCTGCAAGCCGAGCGCCGCCCACCCGAACCCGGTCGTGCTCCTGCACGGCCTGGGCGCCACCTACTACGAGAACATCAACTTTCTCGAGTACTTCCTCCAGCAGCTCGGCTTCTGCACCTTCTCGCTGACCTACGGCGCCCTCGACGGCTTCCCCTTCGTCGGCGGCCTCAAGCCCATCGACGAGTCGTCGCAGCAGATTGCCGACTTCATCAAGCAGGTCGCCAGCAAGACCGGCGCCTCCAAGCTCGACCTGGTCGGCCACTCCGAGGGCGCCTTCCAGTCGCTGTACACGCCCAAGTTCCGCGACGGCATCGCGCCGCTGCTCGAGCACGTCGTCGCCATCGCGCCCCCGACCAACGGCACCACCTTTGCCGGCCTGTGGAACATCGCGCCGCTGCTCGGCGCCAACTCGCGCCAGGACATCGGCGCCATCCTGGAAAAGTACGGCTGCCCGCCCTGCGACGAGCTGTCCGTCGGCGGGCCCGGCGTGCTCAAGCTCAACGACGGCACCCCCATCCGTCAGCCCGGCACCAAGCTCACCATCATCACCTCCAAGTACGACCAGCTCGTCACGCCCCCGGAGACGGCCTTTGTCCACGAAGACGGCGTCAACAACATCTTTGTCCAGGACTACTGCCCCCTTGACCCCGTCGGCCACGTCAACGAGGGGTACGACACCAACGTCTGGAACCTGGTGCTCAACTCGCTCTCCGACCAGGTGGGACGCAAGTTCCTCTGCCTCGCTGGTTCTCCGGGCAAATAAGATGATGACATAACTAGCAAGTGTTGGCAAGTCAAGTATATAGGCCTGTAATTTTTTTTTTTGGGCAAAAGGCGGCGTCCAAGCTCCGAATGCGGGCTGGGCTGGGCTGGGCTGGGCTGTGTTGCGTGTATAGTCAGTCATCATGCGAGACCCTCAAGGCGATAGTGTAGCATAATAGGAATAGGTCCTTTAATTAATGACAATCGTCACCCGGCAATGTACTGTACATCAAACTGTCCAACCCATTTTTTTTCCGCCGCCAAGGAATCGCTATTCGGAGAGATGCACAATGCAATGCTGTGCCTGCCAATTTGGCGCGCCTGTGAGGGATGACCGAGCAAATGAAAAAGATGACAGAGAGCATGCATGCACGAATAGTTACACCATTTTATGTGCACACATGAATCAGTCCCAGCTAGTTAAGCTCTTGGTTGCATCGTTAGTGGTGCCTTGAGGCGAAAAACTCTGCCCACGCCCCAAATCCACCATGCGGGATGGCCATTTACTGGTTTTCCCTTATTCTAGTCTTATTAGTCGTCTTATTTTTGGTTCAAGCTGCATTGATTCTGGAAGCACCGCCCATATGAAGTAAAGCTCCGCTGACGGGATGCGCGCGATGCCTGAACTAAATGGAGGGACCGAGTATAAAGTGATGGCCTGCTGCAGGCGTCGTCTCTAGAACTCGCCCATCACTCTCACTGGTCCTCATCTCCCTGTGCTTGCCCTTCGGTCCCAATCGTCAATCGTTATCATGAAGTTCACCGGTGTTACCGCCCTGACCGCGCTCGCCGCCCTCGTCGCGCCGAGCTCCGGCGCCAAGTCCGGCTCCGGCGCCTGTGCCTCCGGCAACAAGACGCTCACCGTCGAGACGGCGCCCGACTTCGTCCGCCCTTACGTGCTGCCGCGCTTCCACGGCAAGGCCATCATGCTCACCAAGACGCAGACCATCACCTTCTCCATCACCGCCAACTCCTCCGGCGGCGCCTTCACCCTCGTCCAGCACAACGGCAAGGTCACCAACTGGCTCAACGCCCGCCCGCACATCCACAAGACCTACCACGAGCACTTTTACTGCGCCCGCGGCCGCGTCGAGCTCTGGACCAAGCGCAACGGCACCTCCCCCGACCAGCAGCAGGAGGAGGCTCGCGTCGCCAGCTTCGGCGACTACGGCAACGTCCCGCCCGGCACCATCCACACCTTTCAGCTCGTCGACCCGGACTCGCAGCTGACCCACGCCTTCCACCCGGCCGGCTTCGAGAAGCTCTTCGACGACGTATCGTCCGGTCGCTTCTCGTCGGAGGCGCACGCGCCGTACGTGCCGGACGAGGTGGACGAGCAGCCGTACGGGCCGATGACGCCGGAGCTGCACGAGCTGTTCGAGCCGCTCGACCTTTTCGCCGTGGAGGAGCAGCAGTACATCCCGCGCCGCGACTTCGTCAACGGCACCGCCTCCGCCGAGGGCCTCAACTGGCACAACGGCACCAACGAGCTGCCCAAGGACAACACCAAGCCGTACTACGTGGCCAACAACTACGGGCCCAAGTTCCTCAACACCGATTCGGGGTACAAGGTGATCCAGCCCATCTCCACGGTGGACAACTCGCACAACGGCAACTTCACCATGGGCACCATCATCATGTCCAAGAAGCGCGACGACGAGACCACCCCCCGCGTCACGCTGCCGCACCACCTCGGCATCCAGATGGACGACGGCCAGCTGGTCCTCTCCGTCAAGGGCTACAAGACCACCTACCTGCTGCAAGGCGACGTCGCCTTCATTCCCGCCGGTACCCCCTTCAGCTACCACGCCACCGTGCCCTTCACCAAGTTCCTCTACCTCAACGCCGGCCCCAACGGTCTCGAGTACGAGCTCCTCAAGCGCAGCATGCCTTGGGGCTTCCCCTCGTACCCTGTCGAGGCTGGCTTCAAGGCTGTACAATAGAAAGAGCGGCTGCGAGCCTGTACCATAAAATGCATCAATAGGAGAAAGGCGCAATTAGATAGAATGGGGAATAAAAGTATATATGCATCCTGTTGGTTGTTGTTCTAGCAATATTCACGCTATGCCTGCCTGTGTGTAAAATTCAAGGTAAAAGTAAAACAAAACTTTGACAACGTTAAAATAGCCAATTGAGCACCTTCTTCGTCCTCGACCGCCATGTTGGCACGAGATCCTCGTCCTTCTCCTCCACCTCCGCGTGGTAGACGTCCGTCTCAAAGTCCATCTCCTCCGCCTTGACAAACTTGGTCCGCTTGAGCAGCTTCCACCCCAAAAACATGACGAGCATGACGGGTAGCTCAATGTACAAGCTAACAAAGTCGACGGCGTGGAAGCCGTCCTTGAAGGAGCTCCAGCCCTGCACCAGAACGAGGAAGCTGTTTAGGATGACGGAGAACCAGGGCCCCCACGGGTAGGTCCAGTTCTTGAACGGCAGGAGGTGCGTCTTCCCTTGGGCCGCGAGGCCGCTGCGGAATCGGATCGAGGCGATGCCGATGGATATCCAGCTAAGCTGATTGGACACACCGACAATACTTGCGTAGTTGTTAGCGTTGAGGCATCTCAGGCCGACCGCTTTACGTGTAGACTTACTTTTGCAGCCAGGACCAAAGCTGCCCGGCGCCAATGAAGCTAGAGCCGAAGCACAGACCGGCAATGATACTGGTGGCGATGACCGCGACCCACGGCACCTGCCCACGGTTGAGACGCGCAAAAACGCGCGGCGCATGCCCCTGCAGCGCGAGCGTGTACAATAGCCGGGAGCCCGCGAACAGCGCGTGGTTGCCGGCCGAAAGCACGCTCGTGATGACGACGGCGTTGATGATGCTGCCGGCCACCTCGGCGCCGGCCATCTGGAAGACGAGGGTGAATGGTGACGTGCGCGCGTCCTTGTTCTTGAGGCCGTCGGCCGTGTACGGCACATTGAGGCCGATGAGCAGGATGGAGAGGATGTAGAAGAGCAGGATGCGCCAGAAGACGTTCTTGACGACGCGCGGCATGTTGCGGCTGGGGTCCTTGGTCTCGCCGGCCGTGATGGCGATGGACTCGGTGCCTCCGTACGCGAAGCTTGCCGTCACGAAGACGGACGCGAACCCGCCGATGCCGCCGACAAAGGGCGCGCCGGGCAGGTGCCAGTTGGCGCCGCCGATGTAGCGGTGCTCGGTGTTGCCGCCGGCATTAACGGCGATGCCGACGAAGATGAAGGCGATGATGGTGAGAATCTTGAGCAGCGACAGCCAGTACTCGAGCTCGCCGTAGGCGCGCACGGTGATGATGTTGGCGGCGATGAGGACGACCCAGAAGATGAGGCTGAAGGCGACACCGGGGAAGTTGGTGTGCCAGTAGTCGAGTAGCAGCTGCAAGGCGACGAGGTCGGTAGCGGTGGACACGGCATCGTTAAACCAATAGTTCCAGGTGAGGGCGAATCCGAAGGCGTCGTCGACGAAGCGGCTGTGGCGTGTGTCAGCTATCTGAGAATTCCCCCTCCTTCCCCTTGGCTTTTCACTCGTCCCCCATGTGTTCTTGGCTTGACGGTAGAGGCGTCTGCCAAGGCGGGAGGCGTTGTTCCTGATGCTTACCTTGCAAAGGTGCAGAAGCTGCCAGCGACGGGGATAAACGCTGACATCTCGCCCAGAGATAACATTGTGACAAAGACGATGGCACCGACAATGGCGTAGCAAATGAGCATCGAGGCCGGTCCGCCAGTGGCCAGCGACTTGCCGGTGCCTAGGAACAGGCCGGTGCCAATGGTGCCTCCAATGGCAATCATCTGCACCTGGCGGGCAGACAGGGCGCGGCGAAGCCGGTCCTGCTGCACGCGGCCCTCAGCGAGGGAGCCGTCCTCGCCAGAATGTAGACGGCCTTCGACGTCAGCATCGAGGCCATACTTTTCGCCGCTCTTCTCTGGCGGTTGTGGTGGCGGCCAGTCACCTCGGCCGCTGGTGGTGGTGGCGGACGGCATCGATCAGGTGGCTGAATGACTGTAACAAAGGTGGAGGCGGGGGCACCGATGATGTCGCGTGCGTACAGTACAAACAAGCCCGAACAAGTAAACACACCAGCGCAATGGGAGGAGAGCGGAATGAATGTTGTACAGATGCAAGATGAGAAAGGGCACACGACAGCTGGATGGACAAGAAAGAAAAAGGGTCTCGCCTTCCCAGCTGGGGCTGAGAAGCTTAAGCTTGGGGCTGACTGACGCTCTCAACGACAAACGGCCAAGTTCGGCCGCGACCGACACGGAGGGCAGAGGGCCGGGCGGGCTTATTATTAGCGGGGACTGGTCGATGGCGTGCTCACAGAGATTGCAGCTGCAGGGACCCCAACGTCTCGTGGCTGGCCCCGAAAATAGAGTTTCTGTAGCAATTTTTCCAGAAGCATGATTCATTCTTACGAGTCGGTTGCAATAACGGCAAGACGGACGGACATGCCATTTCATGCAGTTATGGTAACATTCCGCGCAGTGGACCAAGTCCCGGCCGTTTGCCGCCTCAACTGACAGGCAGCGCGTCTTGGAGCATGGCATCACCAAGACAATAGCAAGTAGGTAGAGAATTGCTCATTCTCAAGAATGTTCCCAAGAAAACGCCTCAATTTATTGGATTCATTGAGTCCTTTTGAGTGCACTGCATCAATTACTACCTATTCCTGCCCTGTTGTCATTCCAGCCCCCAGGCACTGCCGAAGCCATCCCGTCTTCTGTAGCCAGAATCGCTCTCCACTAATACCCGTCGGCCAATATTGCTCTGCTTTATAAGCGCAGACATTGGCGTCTTTCTGGTTGACACCTAATTGTACGTGCTAACTAGACACAACGCTTCAAGTCAATAACACAGCGTATCTTGATGGTATGAGCCAAGTTAAGCGAATCTGGCCAACCTTTTATGCACCATGTACCAGAGACTCTGCTCATAAGAATCCGCTCGGATCTGGGCTCGTAGCCTCCTAGTCCACATACGTCACCCAAGCAGAATAACCGTTCAAAATATAGCACAATCCCTGTCACCCTCCGCTCCTCGTTTGGCAGTATTTTGCCTCCAGCTTTTCATACCACCGCAACTGGTAAAAACTCGGCTTAATCACAGAGGTTCTTGGTTAGACCGCGTAATCGATATACTGACGCTCATTACCCCAAAAGGCAACCCCGGACAGATGTGGCACCCATCCCCAGAGTACCTTCTACCCCAGCAAGTCACTTACATGCATCGCTTCAGCAGCGACTCCATTCAACATCCGTCTACTTTTAAACCAAACGCTGCATACCACGGTTGGCAATTTGTCGTTACCTCCCTCACAGTGCAGTCGGCGGGTAGGAACATTACTAATCTCCGATTGGCTAGTTCATCACGTGTAGTAAGCAGCATCTCGCAGTGCTCCGATCTAGTCTACTCATCTCATGTCGATACATAAGACCCCAAGAGCCGCCCTCAATGTAAACTCTTCCAGATATCAAAAGTCAGCAAGATCAAGCAAAGAACACAATGGCAAAAGTAGTCTTTCTCATGGCCGACTATGGGCACGACCCTTCTGGTGCGTTTCACTCTGTATGACCGGACTCGCCCGCTCAACTAACCAAGTCTTTCGGATATAGAGACGGCCGTGCCCTTTACCAAGTTCGAGGAAGCAGGTTTTCACATCGCATTCGCCACGGAAAAGGGCAAGGTACCGCAATGCGACACCAAGATGCTCGAGGGCATAACCCAACTGATCCTTGTACGTTACGCCCCATTCGCAACCTTTCTAGGCGGCTTGGCCAAAAACCAACAACCAACACCAAACCACAGGGCGCCAAAAAGACCGTCGTCGAGCAGTACAAGTCCATGTCCGCCTCCAGCCCATGGAACGCCCCCCTCTCCTGGTCCGCGCCCGACTTCCGCCTCGACGCGTACGACCTCGTCTTCCTCCCCGGCGGGCACGACAAGGGCGTGCGACAAGTCATCGACAGCCCCGCCGTACACGCCCTCCTCGCCTCCTTCTTCCCCCAGACCCGCAAGGACGGCGGCAGCTCCCGCAAGGCCGTCGGAGCCGTATGCCACGGCGTCATGGTCCTCTCCGAGACCAAGCGGCTCGGCGACGACGGCAAGTCGGTGCTGCACGGCGTCAAGACGACGGCGCTGCCGACGCGCTTCGAGCAGCTCGCCTTCTGGGGCACCCGCCTCTTCCTCGGCGACTACTACAAGACGTACGGCGCGTGCAGCGAAAACGTCCAGGAAAGCGTGACCAGGGCGCTGGAGCGGCCCGAGGACTTTCAGAACAGCCTGGCGCCGGCGCCGTTCGTGGTCGAGGACGACCACTACAATTACGTGAGCGCCAGGTTTCCGGGGGACGTCGACTTGCTCGGCGACAAGTTGGTGGCGCTGTTCAAGAGCATTACTGCTTAATACAAGAGACGATGCGGCAAATGCAAAATTAGCCCCGACCATATTCCATAAGTAACGTTATCTCCTCTTCACAGAGCCCACTTCACATATTGGTGCAACAGTGAAATGAATTTGGTCCATTTTGATAGCCAAGTCTATATGAGATTGTTTATAACAAGAAAACAACCCAACTGAAGACGAAACGCCCAATGCTGTTGCAGGAATGGCCACCAGGCAATTATCGAAAAAAAAAATCAGTAGGAGAAAAAACGACAGGAAAAGAAAGAATAAGGCCGTGGTAGCCAGACCATGCAAAGGAAATGCAAACCGTCAAACGCCTTGCCGAATGAAAATACAGATGCTATGATTAACATTAAAAAAGTCACATGTTTGTGCTTGGGTCTTGTGGTTGACTCGGCACAAGACCGTAATCAAGACGACTCGTAGCGCCAGCGCCGAGCATTATCGTCCAGCCACCAGCGGGACACAAACGTAGCTTGCTCTGCCCACTTGCTGGCATCCTCACCAAAGGTGTCTTCGATCTTTTTCAGGAATTCGGGATATCCAAAGTCGAGAATCGGCTCGTCTTCATGCTTGTCTTCCTTCGTGCTGGTGAAGCGCCACTCTATGTCCGAGACAATGGGGACGACGATGCGCCAATCTGGGTTGCGGGCATCGCGAACCGAAAGCGTAGCGCGACCCGGGTTCATGACAGTAAATTGCCAGCCGCCCGCATCGGGAGATCTACCATGGCTGCGTAGTGGACGAATGAGGGACTGACCCTCGTAGTTCTTGACCAGATCCCGCGCAGCCGTTGTGTCGCTCTCGCCAAGCGAGCCAGTTTCGATAAGTAGGTCGAGAATGGTGGGGAGAATCATATTGGAGTTCACGACGTCGTTGACGTCAACAGGCGGCATGGCGGGGTGCGAGAGGACGAGAGGAACGTGAAAGTTACCGATGTTGGGCTGGTAATACGGTGTGACCGCCGCGTTCTCAGCAATGGACAGCCCATGATCGCCAACGTAAACGATCAGGGTCTCGTTGGAAGCACCAGTTTCTTCAAGAATGTCAAGAATTCGGCCCATCCAGCGGTCCACAAAGCCGACGGCATTGGTGTATCCGGAAAGATCCTGCAGACCTGAATCGTCGCTGAGACTGACAGTAGTCTCACCTTTCGGGAGCGCAAAAGGGTGATGGGCGGTGGACGTCAGGTGTGTGAGGAAAACACGCTCGTTTTTCTTCTTGGCTGTGGCAAAAGCATCCTTGACGTACTCTGCAATCGCGTTTTCAGGCATGCCGTAGTAATTGATATCTTCGAGATCGGTCTTGCCAAATTTGGCTTCGTCAGAGCGGAGATATTCGGAGTCGACGAAGCGGCCTTCGGTATAGCCCATGACTGGCATAAGTTTATCCTGTTTGTCGAACGTATGCGTGACGGATTGCATGAAGAGAGAGTTCCACTTGTACGACGTGAAATCGTCTATTTTGCGATCGGAAGCGTGATCAATGGCATTGAAGGCGTCAAAGATCTGAGCAAGACAGGGTTGGTAAACATGACTACGAAATTCCTGGTTCATATCGGCCACCAGCGGGGTGATGCCGCAGAGGGTGCCGGGCAGACTCTTCAAAGTATAGGTGCCCGTGGTATGGCAGTTGTTGACATTAATACCGCCGCGTCGGGGCTGCTCCTGGTGGTCGAAGCCGTCGTCGTAGTCGCCGGTAAGGTAGTTGGCGTTGGGGGTAAGAGTAGACAGGCGCTGCTGGGCTGCTTCGGGGAGAGTCGCATTTTCAAAGGAAGATTCAAACTTGTTCCAGATAAACCCACCCTTCTTGATGGGAAAAACATCCTTGCGGGTACTCTCAAGCTTGATGACCATGATGTTGCGGATGGGGACGTCCTTGAGAACACCTCGGAGCGGCTGAAGAAGCGCATCGCCAAGGTTGTCGATTTTGATAGGGTCAGCTTCGGCGTTGTAGTGTTCCGTGTGATCGTGCCAATCCTCGAATCCAGGAAGCTTGAGGCCTTTCGGGAGCCAAGGGAAGGGAATCGGTCGGGTTAGAGCCGACGAATTGTCGAAATGAAACTCTTGGCCATGGTAAGTAAGCAGATTGGACAGGTTCGGCGCTGCATGAGCAAAGTCCATGAAAGGCACAAGAGGTAGGGTCCACGACATGAAGGCGACGGAGGTCTGATCAGGACGAGCCACGTAGGAAACAATTTGGACGATGAGACCAATGCCGACACAGATATTGAGGGAGATCACAAGGAAAGCATTACGGCGTCGGGGGGGCTGTGCAATTTTGGGCTCGGAGGATGAATCCATCTCGTCGTCGGTATAACGGTGCTCAAGTGCATTTTCGGCGTCGTTTTGCGGTACGTTGGTGTAGTGGATGGGGGTCGGGCGGCGACGGTTGCTAGCCACCTTGGAATAGACGAAAACAAATGGAAACTTGACCATGTCGAGAGCGATGGTGGCAATGATGTAGCAGATATCCTGCAAGAGCCAGCTTGCGCCAAGGATGGCGACTAGGGTGATACCGAGGGAGAAGAGCCCGGTGACGAGGGTACTCCAAGAGGAGGAGTCGCCGGCGAGCGCAACGTTGCGCCAGTGTAGCTCGTTACCAGCGACTGCGAAGAAGGATATGTTAATGGAGGCGAGGGCGAGGCAGACAAGAACTAGAATGGCGGAGACGGTGGTGCCGATGATTGCAGCCCAAGGTCCTTGGGCAAAGAGCATTGCACGGATCATCATGAGCAGAATGGTGTCTTGCAGGAAGAAGGACGGCGCCCATTGGAACATGTCGGAGGTGGAGAGAGCATCGAGATGTGCATCAATGTGGACGGCCTTGGCCGCGACGACGCTGACGACAGCGAGAGCGAATACATATCGCCGGTTGGCGAACCGGGCGGCAACGGTGCCGAGGAGACGGCGGAGACGATCCATGGCGGAGGGATGAAGTTGTCGACAGCAGATGGGGAAAGGCTGTGGGCGTTTGCGACCCAAGCTGTCGAACGTATATGGGTGAGCGGATGAAGCCGATGCCAGGCAGGGGATGAACAAGCAACTAGCAAACGATAACAGGAACAAGAAAGAAAGAAAATAGATGAGAAGTAGAAAGACGCTGTTGAAGCGAGAGTGGAGGAAAATGAGTGTGATGGGAGGAAGGAGGAGGAGTAGGAGTAGGAGCAGGAGGAGGGGTGTGTGTCGCGGGCGCCAAGGTAAGTGGACGCTGGGGGTTCAAAGAATGGGGGATTGGCTATAGTAGGGAGTTTTTAACATGGAACAAGGCTGGTAAAGAGCAGTAGCATTCCACGCTTAAAATAAAGAGTGCCAACGTGGGCGCTAGATCCATTATAAAATTCGAGATGATGATGGACGGTCCAGAGGAGGGTCAGAGTTTTATAATGATGTCGTACTAACCGACAACACTCACAACTCGGGCAAACCTACGGTTTATCCGTCCAGTGACGGATGAATCTACTGAATTTGAATCTGCAACAGCGACTTGACAATACAACGAAGTAATTTCGAGGTTTTGGCCCCTGAGCAACAGGCCAGGGCCCATCCCATGTTGGGGGACCAAGGTCAAAAGCTGTCGTGTGATGGAGTGAGTACTGGGTAAAGAAAATGGTCAGGGCGGGACCAGGCACCTCTGTAGGCACGTCCCTACAATGGTTAGTACCTATGTATGTACGGAGTACAGTACATACCTATTTACCTGCTTGCCTACCTCTTACCCACCTACCAGCAGGTAGGGAACTAGGCTACGGAGAAATTTGTGAGGTTAGCAAGGGGCGTGCGGCAGAACTGGTGGCTGATGCCGCTCGAGCTAGTTACTGCACGTAAACAGTCATCCCATCTTTTCTTTTCGTGCCTGGCACAGAGCAACGCCATTACCAACCATTCCCAAGTCCCAAGGGCACGAACCAGGAGTAAAAAGCCAAACGCTACTGTGCTGTAACCGCACTGGACCGAAGACATGTTTTATGTCTTTCTTCCCTGGTACCAAGCATTTGAGCCCGTCATCCTGCTTATTGTCAGGAGGTTGCGTGACCCAATTCCTCTTCTGGACAGGCTGAAAGTGGAGAACGGCGCCACACAGTATTTTTTGGGTGACGCACCGTGTTAGCAATAAATCTCTGCACCCGGACAATTTTTGCCCCGTTTATGCCAGGTAATAATAGCATGCGTGTCTTGTATTGCGCGCGACTCATCAGTCTTTATTGAATCTTGCCCCTCGGAATCGCAGATGGGTAAATCGCATGTTCAGTCGCATTCTCACTTGTCGCGTGCCCACGGCGACGGAAGGTTGCCTTGTGGAGATGTTGGCTAGTTAGCTAGGCAGGTAGGTTCGGATAGTATGAGGGGTATGAGGGCAAAATTCAGCCACCACAGGCACGTTGATCCTGAACAAAAGAACCTTCAGCCCTTTCCATCAATTGGTGGAGATGCGCCGGCTGCCGAGCCTGAGAGGAGCTTGGCCGGGCGACCTGGCTGGCTTGTGGTTTTCTCCCTGACCAGGCGTCCTGCTGCTCAATCACATACCTTATTTCTTATTTCGCAGTAGGTAGCCAATAATAACCCCTTGTCAAAACAGAGCGCTGTCCCTCGGACCCTGTCCTGTTCCCTTGTCCCTGATCACGGCTGTTCACAGCGCGGCTAACAACTGAAAAATGAGCAGAATGCCTGTCTCATGTTTCTCCCATTGTTCTGGGCCCTGGGCGCCCGTCTTACTGCCCACTCCGCTCCCCTCTTCTAGTCTTGGCCCAACAAGGCAGTCAGTCGACGACGCCGGCATTAGCTTCCTTTTCCCTCCAATCCCCTTCGTTCTCTTGGATCCAATATTGGTTGATGCAAGTGAGGAAAGGGCAGTTCCGAGACTGCAAGTTATCAAGCCCATTAAATGCCATTCACCCAATTTGTCCAAGGTCCAACAATTGATACAGCTGATCTGACGTAGCCAGTCCACTGTTTGCATATTTCGTTGCACATCGCTACCCTTCTTTGTTGCCCATACGGAGCACTCCGCAGATGCTGTTACAACAGGAGTGAATATCATCACCGCTTGCCATCTTTACAAATTGTTTCAACGTCATCCTTGCGCATGAGTAGCATGCTCCGCCACGCTGAGAGCGAGATCGTCGCTTCACTCTCACTTGTTACAATCCTGTCGCCGTGTATAATGCCAAGTTTCAACTACGCAGTTATTCTCCTTCTGTCTCCTTTTATTCTTGTTCTTCTAACCCGTAAATATCAAGGGTTTCCTTCTTTACGTGTCTCCGCCTTGAATCTGCACAGGTCTGTCGCGTGCCTTTTTCACTGACCGACCAGTGGCGCCACCCCCTTCCCCATCCCCTACCCCCCACACCCCTGAAAGATGTCTGCGAGTCTAGAATTAAGAAGTGTTTTTAAAGTTTAATATCGCAAACCCTACTGCACTAACTATCCATCTGTGTTCAGTCTATTTTCTTACTGGGAGCGCTTCAGCGACTGAGCGCGCGTAGTTTTCATGCTTGGGCCATCACACTTGTTCAAAGCTGTGAGATGTTCTGTTCCTTCGTATCTGATTATTTATGTGAGCGTACTGCAGACAGGCTGACCCGCTGAGAAGCCTCCTCCAAATTGGAGCACGGCCGCATTTTCAGGTGAAGCAACAGCAAGCCCCAGTCTTGCCGCGTGTGCATCTCGCTCTGAACAAACATTGGCTTTGGAGTCGGTCGAATGCATGAGCTTTTTCAATCTTTCACGGTCTATGAGTATACCCGTAATGACGATTCAATCCGCATTTCCAAGAAGCGCAGAAGCGCGTTGAGCCCGTTTTTCCGGCCGGAACCACGAACGCTGAAGTGCACGCTCCAGGAGAACATAGACATGGAAATTCCAGAGCCGCGATAGGGCCATCTTCTGTACCCATATACCTATGTATCTCTAGCTCTGCGAATGTTTTTATCGTTGAAAACCAGATCGATGACAATTTGTTGAAAGCCGTTTTTGAAAGGCGTTTGCTCCTCGTTTGTCGACTGACTGTCCAGGCGGCCAGTCACTCTTGTGGTGGGGCACCAGAACAAGCGAAAATTAGACCATCACGGACGGCGCGCGAATGTTGGATGCTGCATAGTTAGGCGCGTCATACCGTGCGGGCTTCTGATCTGCCTTTCCTTGAAATGGCTTCTCATACAGATGGTCCAAAGTCAGCCGCCACCCCAGGGGAGGCTTTGCAGACGGACGAAACGCAGGAGCAGAAAGACGAGCGATTCCGCAAGCTCTATCGCCACCCGCCAGACTTCAAGCAGATTGCCGCCCTAGACGCTGATTTCGCCGCAGTGTAAGAATGCTGGAGATCCCGTGTACTCCTTGCACACAGTATGCTGACCGGGTGTAGAGTTCAGGGCCGAGAGCTGGATTTTAAAGATCCAAGGGCCGTCATGCAACTGTCCAAAACACTCCTTAAACACGATTTTGGTCTTTCACTAGACCTGCCGGATAATCGCCTTTGTCCTCCGGTATGTTTCCGTTATAGAGAACTCATTCTCTTCTGGCCACTGCAATGCTGAGAGATTTTCTGTGATTCCCCTAGATACCCAATAGGCATACGTACATCCTCTGGCTGAAAGAGTTGCTCGATTCAACTAGCTACGACACTCCCGGAAAGCTCGTCGGGATAGACATCGGAACAGGGGCGAGTTGCATATACCCAATGCTTGGATGCATTCAAAGGCCCTGGTCATTCATTGCCGCTGGTATGCTTTGCCGTCCTCGTCCCAAGTCTTTCTTGTCTAACACGTTCAGATATCGACGATGAGAGTCTGCGCTGGGCAAAGAAGAACATCGAGAAAAATCACCTGCAACACCAAATCAAACTCGTCAAGTCCAATTCCGACGGTCCTATCATCCCCATAGTATCTGCGCCCGCGGAAGACGTGGCCTTTGTCATGACCAACCCACCTTTCTACAAGTCGGCCGAAGAGATGGCGCAACGGGCCGCCGAAAAGTCGCTTCCACCACTGACGGCCTGCACCGGCGCCCCCGTCGAGATGGTGACGGGCGGTGGCGAGGTCGCTTTTGTCGGGCGCATCCTCGACGAGTCTCTGGCGCTGCGAGGGCTCGTCCGCTGGTACACGGCCATGCTCGGCTTCCAGTCCAGCGTCGCAGCGCTGGTCCGGCGGCTGCGTGACCACGACATCGGCAACTACGCCGTCACTGAGTTCGCGCAGGGCAGTCGGACGAGGCGCTGGGCCGTCGCGTGGAGCTTCCACGCCATGCGCCCGCCGCAGGCGATTGCACGCGGCGCCACGGCAAACGCCCTGCGAGGCAGCCTGCCTGCGCACACGGAGATGACGGCCGTGGCGCTCCCGGCGTTTAGGGCGGTTTCCAAGTTTGCCGAAGGGCTGCACGACGCGATGGCGTCGCTCGAGACGACACACTGGGAATGGGACAGGCAGAAGCTGGAGGGCAGGTTGAGGGTGGCGGACAAGGTGTGGACGCGGGCGTGGCGGCGGCAACAACAGCGCGGCATGGACACAAGCCCAGAAGCAAAGGACAGGTGCGCCAAGGAAGACATTGGCTTTGGGGTATACATCAACGTGAATCTAGATGGTATCGTGGTTCGCTGCCGCTGGATCGAAGGACACCAGGAATCGGCGTTTATCAGCTTCGCCGGCTACCTCAAGACGACAGCCAAGAAGGTTTATGACGGCCTCGAGGAAAATCAAAAGCCCGAAAAGGCAGAATAAGGCATTCATTCCGGTATTTTTACGGGAGTCATGTAATACACCTCTTCCTGCAACGAATATCTAGCTCAAAGATTGCGGCAGGTCCTCACGGGAGGTGCTTGTCATAGCCCGCCGCGATCAACCTCTGCGCAGCCTCCATTACCCCCGGCGGAATCTCCTGCGGGACCTGGAACCCCAGCGCCGGGTACCTTTCTATGCGCAGCAGGTCGCCCACCATGACGCTGATCACCAGCTCCCGCGGGTTGCCCTCGTCCGGGTACTCTGCCCAGCTCAGCTGCGGCGACGTCACCGCCACGCTCGCCGCCTCGTCCGGCCACTGCTTGCGAAACGTCGCCCACGTGCGGCGCTCCATGTACGGCTTCTGCACCAGTATCAGCGAGCGCGGCATCTCCTCCCCGGCCCCCTGCTGCTGCAGCAGCTCGTGCGTGAGGCGCACGTTCTCGCCCGTGTTGGTGGAGGCGCGCTCGACCAGGATGGCGTCGGCGGGCACGCCCATGCCGCGCGCGAGGCCGGCGAAGAGGTCGGCCTCGGACATGGAGAAGCGGTCCCGCGTAAGCTTGCCGAGTCCACCGGAGAAGACGATGCGCGGCGCGAGGCCGTCGAGGTAGAGCTGGGCGGCGCGGGTGGCGACGCGCGTGTCGAGGCTGCCGAGGCAGAAGATGAGGTCGGCTGGCTGGAGCGTCATGCCCATGCGGTGGTACTCGTAGACGAGCTCGGCGTCCCGGTCGACCTGCGCGGCGGCGTCGGAGGCGGTGGCATCCATTCTAGAGAGAGTTGCACGCAGCGTCGTATTAGATACTATGCTGGAAGTGCTTTTTGTGAGGGATAGATGATGTCGAGGATGTGGGCATGTCCGAGTGTCGCATTGTCGGGTCGCGATGAGGGGCTGTCCGTCACAAACCCCACCTCACTGAGCTTGATCAACTCATTGCTTCAACCATCTCAAAGTCATGCCTTCAATTTCTTCCGTATAGTGAAGGAGTCAATTTTTTCAAGAGACTAACTAGGCTTTTTCATAGAGCATAGTCACTTCTAAGCCATCACCGCTTACCACCGGTAATGGCTCTGCAACCCCCACTACCCCGCGATGAGAAAATAATGGAGAGCCACCATACGATAGTATTGAGCATGTGCGATTGCTTACTCTAGTTTGCAAGTTCAAATTCACCCAATTGCAGCTACATTCGTCTCAACTTTCATCACCGATCGCAGCCGGAGGAACCCGGAAGCTCCAGCCCTCGTGGCGGCCCGAAGTGAGGGGCCGCTCAAAGCCGCTGTCTCTAGGGCCGGGCGACTTCCTTTTGTTTCGTGATCAAGTCATTTTCTCCTGCCTGATTTTCTAAGCCACAGAAACTGGGTAGCATTTAGTCTCATGCGAGCTGCAATGCGTAGTGTGCTGTCTGGATTCTTTGGGGAAAGGATGGGATGCTCGGCGACAAGTCATAATGACAGCCCGTCTAGGGACCCTCACGATTTACATGGGGTAGGACGGGGGCACTATATACGATCCTACAGTAATGCCTCTGGTGGCGTTGTTGAGCAAAGTAGTCGCGTGAGCACTGTTTAGAGGGCAAAGTTTGTCAATGCCAATTTCAACGATTCAAGGCTACTTCTGTTCTGCATTCGCCAAGATCTAGGCTATATATACTCAGCGTAATAACTGACGCTCAATGTCCATTCTTGCACGATCATGACGGGACTCTAATCATCCAGCAACTGGAGCCATGCAGGTTGTTGCTTGCTCGAACGGTAATGTGCCTTCATGGCCATGCATGCACGAGCACCAAGCCGCATGTGCTCTTGTTCTCTCGCCGATTCTCGCCTGCAGCTGCCCAAACAAGTTATCCGAGCTCTGCTACCTGAACGCCGCACTATGCCACCAGTTCCCACAGCTAGACTGCATTGCAACACGCACCTACGACAATGCCTCTCGTATATGACAAATAGAAATCCCTCAATCGCAACCGGCCTGCGTATCCTGCCCTTTGGGCCAGACAGGACGAGCGCACCGGAAGGCGAAGGAAGCATCACACAAGTAGCGAGTGTGGGAATAAGACAAGGAGAAACCCAAAATTCAAGCCATCTCCCCTCCATGGAAAATTACCAGTCAATGATCGATCCGGATCAAATCCCGTGTGTTTGCTTCTTTTGGCACGCGCGAACTAGCGGGAGCAAATTGGGCGGTTCTGGCTCCCCACGTGGGTGTCATCACCGGCACCCAAGGGCCTCCCGGAAAGACGCGGGGGAGGGGGGGGGGGCCGCTTCCAGCCAACGACGGCCTGTTGCATTGAAATGTGCGCGCGGTCGGTCGTCTCAGGGCCTTTTCGGCGGATGGGGGGAGCGAGCCCACACCTACGTTACCTTGTCTCGTCCGTCCCAGCCCGGCGAATCTGACTCGGCAGATGCGGTATGGCCGCGTGCGGCGTCGTGGTTGGGCAGCAGGAAGAAAAGGGCCATTCGCCGGGCCGGCCGTTGTTTGACAGCGTCTCGGCCATCGGGTGTGAGTCGTCCCTTGAGGCGAGGGGTCCAAGCCGGTCCGCCACCCTGTATTGATAACAAGTCACTCGTCCTGCCGTGGTGCGGCTTCTTCTTTTGCCCATGAACAAGCCCATATTAGATCGTCTATTCCAAAATCTCCTTTTCTATAATACAATTCAAGATGGACAAGGTCGACATCCTGACGGCATCCCGCGTGGAGCCGCTCTCCCAGCATCACCATGCCACCATCATCAGCCGGATGGGCCCGACGCTCGCCTACGCCGTTCACCTCCATAACATCATCGGCTCGCTCTCCGTTTTCCTCTGCTGGCGCGCCTACCTACTCGCCAGCATCTCCCTCGCCGGCGCCTACTGGGCTGCCCGCATCCTCGCGTTCCACGCCCTCGTCGCCACCAAGGTCGGCGCCTTCCACGGCGCTACCGCCTCGATTCGCGCCGCCGCTGCCGTCTGGGACATGAAGACGACTCGCATGCTGCGAGACAAGCTCTTCTACGAGTTTGCCTTGTTCGTTCTGGGTGCCGGCAACGGCCTCTTCCTCCTCGTCCTCTGGCCCGGCTGGATTGTCATCGGTGGCACGTCGTTTGTCCTCTGGCAGGTGTGCGGGTGAACAGACATGGACGGACGAGAGATACACCATCGGCACAACAAAGACGAAAAACGAAACGCCTTGACGAAAACCATGAACGCATAACTCCTTTTTCCGGAAACGACAAAAGTTAAACATTTCGAACAGAGGCCGCCCCTCACTTCGAATAGAAGAATGTGTTGCCACCGCCGTCCTTTCGGACCTGCTTCGCATAGTCCATCTCAGGGTCGAATTCCTGCCAAGTGCTGGCGGGATATATGTGCTTGTTGCGCTCGTACCAACGACGATCGACCACCTTGGTCTCCATGGGGTCCTCATCCGCGCCTTCCAGCGTGGAAATGTCAGGCAGGCCTTTGGCCGCCTTGATCTCGGCCGCGGTGCTCAGTCCCGCGGCCAGTTGCTCCGGGGCGGCAGCTTCTGGTGCCTCGCCGCTGTAGTCAAACAGCCGCTTACCGCCAGGCCCGACACTCTTGTTGATGATGAAGTAGTGAAAGTCATAATGCTGTTACACCACAGATTGCATACGTTAGCGCTTAGAGCTCACATAAATAGACACGTTAGAGGGGGAAAGGGAAATAATAGAGAGCAAAGTCCCACGTACATGAGGAATAATGACCGTGCCTCGGACAATCATCAAGTCGTCGACGCCGACGCGCGCCCACGCACGTGTCGCGTTGGCCTGCTCGCCCACGCCAAGCTCGGCGCCAACCTTGCGGCTCTTGTCGAGAAACACCCAGACAAAGTCGCCCTTCTTCATGCGCACGACGCCGCCGGGCGTGTGGGCGCCGTCGTAGAAGACGAACGGGATCGCAATCTCGGTCACCTTGACCGCCTCCTGCATCGTCAGGAACTCGCGCCGCAGCGCCTCCCGTTCGGCCGCCTCCCTGCGCAGCGCCGATTTGGTCACCGTTTTGAGGCCCGGCCCAACGGATGCGTTGGCCTTGATCTTGCCACTGCTCTTGGGTTTTAAATCACCATCGCCCTCATTACCCGGCTTCGAGCCCTTGTTGCGCTCAGAGCCGCTTGCTGCCGTCGTCGCTTCGCTGACGTTGCCATTCTCCTCCTCATCATCGTCGCCAAACGAGAGGAGCTTCTTGCCGGCCTTTTGCTTCTTCTTGGCCTTCTTCACCTGACGCAGGCTCCCCGATGCACTCGCCGAGTCGCTGCCAGTGCCGCTGCCCGGATTGTTGTCGGGCGTGCCCGCCTGCGAGCGGTCGACAGGTGTTGAGGCACCGGTGGCGCTGGCGTCACGCGCCTCGCGCTCCTGCTGCTCAAGTACCTCAGCGCGACGCTTGCGAAAGTCAGAAAGCGCGACGAGACCAACGGTGTTGGTTGATAGGCGCTCCTGGGTCGTCTTATTCTGCGGTGTGAACCGCGACGATGCTGGTTCCGACATTGCTGCCTGAGAGTTGTGGTTGACAGTTCTGCGATTTATTACGACTGACTTATTCCAGAGTTATTAGTTGGGATGTGGGGCACCAAATATCATGGCATGAGTCCATCAAACAAAACTAGTCAATTTTATTTTTCAGTGAATTTAACATATTAGGAGAAAGTTTCCGTCGAGTCAAAAATGACTAGAATCTAGAATAAATACAGTCTAGGGCAATCTCTTGCCCTGGCGCGTTGCTTGTCCGACCTCTGAGTTGGTGGTATCATCAGCGTATCTCTTGTACGCAACAATGTAGCGTTCATCAGCACTCCACGTATCCTTTACACTCTTGCGCTCCGCAATTGCTTTGAACCATTTTCTCCATCTTCCCCATTCTTCATCTTGGCCTTCGGAAGGAATTCCGGTGCCACCGGTTTTGTAGTGGTCAATCAGCCAAAGTCGCTTCGCCCACGGTGCGAGAGAGATATCCACCATGCTCAGTTCCTTGCCTGCAAAAAAAGGACCTTCTGGGTCCATCTGTTCTGTAAGTGCGTGGATGTGCTTATGGAGCTCTTTTCTGCCATCGTCCAGCGTAAATGGCTTCTCCTTGGTGTGCTGCAGCAACTTGTAGAACGCGGGGATAATTTTGTTGCTGATATGGTCGATCCAGAGGCGAGCGCGAGCTCTTTCATAAGGCTCCTTTGGTAGTAGGCTGGGTCCGTATTTAATTTCATCGCTGTATTGCTCATCCAGGTACTCGCTGATGATGTTGCTTTCGAACAGAGGGTTCTGCTCTGAGCCGTGCGTGCCAATCGGTACAGCAAGCGTTGGTACAAGGCCGCGGGGATTCATGGCCAAGAATGAGGCCTCCTTCTTGTAGGGATTGACCTCGATGTACTGGTAAGGGATCTTCTTTTCCTCGAGCACGATCCAGGAGCGTTGGACAAATGGACAGAACCAACCACCATAGAGCTTCAGCGACTGGGTATCAGAATGGTGATCAGCCAAACCAGCCGCAGCCCCAGATGGTTCTGGAGGAAGAGAGGTGTCGACTGTAGTCATCGTAAGGTTTGATGCTGTACAAGTTGATGGATGGATGTCCAAGAAAGCCTCAAGTGGGCTAACGATGGCTTTAGTAGACGGCCCCGGCGGGGTAGTTATTGAGAGGTTGCATGACGTGATGGCCGAGTTATAATTTAGCGGACACTGTTTTATGCTTGGTCCAAAATGCCTAAGCCAGGTACTGCAGTATTCTTGCTTCGTCATTCCCATTTTAGAAGTCAACCGCTTTTTATTGTCCCACAAGTTCGACTGGTCGTCTCGAGGATGCAGCAGCTTCACCAATCAATTCTGCCACTTTGTCGCCGGCTTTCGCACAGCCCGTCCTTGTTCAGAATGCTGTGTATGTTTTCAGACAAACAATGAACTTTCGTGAGATAGTGTTTCATTCGGTCTGTATAAGCTACGCATCGTTATCGAGCCGCGCGTAAATGTTTCAGCATTAACAGCCACGTCATTCTTTCATTCTCCATATCCTTCTTCAACTCTCCGATCATGAGTAGGTGGATCCCTCGGGGGGTTGGGGAATCTTCTTATTAGGCGGGGAGGCCATGTATCTAGTTACTGTCAGTGGTACTGCGACGGAGTCATTGCATGGCCAGGGTTCACGGACCTTCGGAGCTCTATCAGGATCGTCTCCATGGTATTCTCGCGCTTCCATTGCGCAAGGCAGGGAAGCATCGTGGGGTCGACAACGCCGTTCTTCGGGTCGACACAAGGCAGGTTGACCTGACTGACAAACTGGATCTTGGGGGGTACATCGGGGTACGTGCTGCCGCAGTGCATCTTGAGACTGTAGATTCGGTTCTCGTGGACAGACTAGAAAGCAGTTAGCACAGGTCAGCGTCTGTTGCCGCGATGGTGTGGCAAAGGACTGTCACAACTGGGCTATGGTGAGACATACGTGAGGAGGTCCCAAGATGGTTCCATTCCAGTTGGTCATGAGCAAGTCATCGCTATCCTCCAAACCATAACTGCAGGCCTCGGCACCAAGACCCTTTTCGCCCTTCTCGAGCTCTTCCAGCAGGCGGAAGTTGCGTGGGACCTTGGCCATCGTGATGATGCGGCGGTTATGAAGCGGGCTCTTGTGCGTGCTTTTCGGCGGGACTCGGTTTCGGACTGTGAACCAACTGCAGACGTTCCAACAACGTCGTTCCTCTCTCACAATGCTATTCGAGACGCGGGGGTCGAGGCGATACTTTTCTATTCTAGAAGAGTGGCGTGGGGTTTAATGGTCCAGGCGAGGCGGGCGACAACTTCTGGCGGCGGTGCGTGCCGCGGGGCAGTCAGTGTAACCTGTTAGAGGCTGGAGTGGGGAGCTTTGACCAGCTTTGGACTTTACGTATTCGTACAGCAAGGTTCTCAACTCAGCCGATTCGCGACCAGCTGCGGGTAAATGTCGGGCAAGGCCAGCTTAACAGCCGGAAAGGCTCGCAAACAGGCCATCGTCATTCACGGCAGCCTCGCACCTTCCCAGCACGACAACCTTCCATTGGCCTGTTCTGCCACGATTCTCAACAAATCAGACCTGAACGCAGTCAATAGTCAAATTCAGCCGAGCCGCAGCGAGAGAGCCCCATCCCATCACAGAACATGCAGTCCGCGCTGGTGCGGGCGTCCCTACGGGGACCCCTTCAACAACTTCACCATTCGAGGCAATTGTCGACCTCGGCGCGCAGCCTGCTGGCCTCGAGCTTCAACGGCAGTGGCGGGCCTCTACCTTCGTATTTCCAGAAGCCTCGTCTTCCGGCCAACACGGTTGTGCGCTTCGTCCCCCAGCAGACGGCCTGGATCGTAGAGCGCATGGGCAAATTCAACCGCATCCTCGACCCCGGCCTGGCAGTCCTCATGCCCTTTATTGACCGCATCGCCTACGTCAAGAGCCTCAAGGAAGTCGCCATTGAGATACCTAGCCAGAGCGCCATCACGGCGGACAATGTAACGCTGGAATTAGACGGTGTCCTGTTCACCAGAGTGTTCGACGCCTACAAGGCCAGGTAAGCCCCTCAACAAAACGGTGATCAATCAAGGGTGTCGACTGACCACGCATATCTGTAGCTACGGCGTTGAGGATGCCGAATACGCCATCTCGCAACTCGCCCAGACCACGATGCGATCCGAAATCGGTCAGCTCACGCTCGACCACGTCCTAAAGGAGCGTGCCGCGCTCAACACCAACATCACTGCCGCCATCAACGACGCCGCCGAGGCTTGGGGCGTGACCTGCCTGCGTTACGAAATTCGTGATATCCACGCTCCTGACGCTGTTGTTGAGGCCATGCACCGGCAAGTGACGGCCGAGCGCTCCAAGCGCGCCGAGATTCTCGACTCCGAGGGCCAGCGCCAGAGCGCCATCAACATCGCCGAGGGTCGCAAGCAGAGTGTCATTCTCGCCTCAGAGGCTATGCGCGCGGAGCGCATCAACGAGGCGGACGGTGAGGCTGAGGCCATCTTGCTCAAGGCGCGTGCTACGGCCGAGGGCATTGACGCCGTCTCCCGCAGTATCCTCAACGGCGCGGAGGGTGCCAAGGGTGCCATCAGCCTGACGGTCGCCGAAAAGTACGTGGATGCCTTTGCTAAGCTGGCCAAGGAGAGCACCGCGGTCGTGGTGCCCGGCAATGTCGGCGATATTTCCGGCATGATTGCCACCGGTCTCAGCGTGTACGGCAAGGTTGGCGAGGCACAGGCCAAGACCATGGCCAAGCAGATTGTGCCCGCCCAGCCCAGCTCTTCAACGAGCGCTGCAGTCGAGGATATTTCCGAGGAGGACGCGGCCAGAAACCGCAAGGAGGCCATGAAGGAAACGGTTCTAGAGGGGTTCAACGAAGCGGCCACTAGGAGATGAGCAGCCCAGCTCCTGCAATTCCCTCCCAGAGACTCGTTGAGCCTCAAAGCAACATGACTCGTACGAAGACCTTCTGTATAGTACTGTGTAACGACGAAGCCCCCGTCTTCGCCTCTTGCATCTCATATATCCACTAGACACTTGGGCTGGCGGCACAGGCGTTTGTATTATTCCGCATTTTTTATCATATTTTTCTTTGTTCTATTAGCAAAACGCAGAATGGGCGTGGAGTGGATCAGGCCAGCATATCGACACATGTCACTGAGATGACAATGAGAGGCCGGAACAGACTGAGTGTACATGATGGGGCACAAAAAAGCATCTTTTCTCTAATATTATGAAAGCTAGGCTCGTGAGCTTGGCCCAAAAAAAATAACGTGAATGAATCAAATATGATGCCACGATGGCAGTCTTTTTGCTGCTCGTGGCAAAGCTATACATGTTAAATGTGGTATCTAGTTGCGCCTGGCAATGAGTTGGAGTGCCTGGAATATAAAAGCATCCCTTCGTTCTGTATGGTTGGCTGATCTGGTCCCCGAATGATGGCCATTCTTTTCTTGTCGTCCCCTTCACTTTGTTCAGATAAAGTACGCCGCCAACGCAAGGAGTCCTGCCAGGACGGCCGGCGCCTCGAGTGTCGCACCAGCCGCGCCCTTATCAGAGCTGGCCGAGCTTTCAGTCGTTGGTTTTGACTTGTCGGAGGCAGAAGCGCCGACCGAGGACGGGCCGCCCGGGCTCCCCGCCGCCGCCGTCGTCCTGGCGCTGCTGCTGGCCTCCGCAGAGAGCGTGACGCTCTCGCCAATGGCCGACGCGGGAAGTGTCCTCCGCGAGGTGCTGCTTACACCGGACGACGACGCCGTCGACGTTGGTGTCTGATCCTGCCCTCCTACAGAGGAGGAAGCGGAGCCGCTGCTGGCCGGGGTGCCGCAGAGGCCGGAGGCGAGGCAGACGGTGCCGGGGTCGCACGAGGAGCCGTCGCCGAGGCCGCAGCAGACGCGGTCGCGCGGGATGCAGCCGACGTCGCACACCTTGGTGGTGGAGGTGCAGCCGCGCGGCGGGCCGCTGCACGTCTTGCCGTGGCGGCAGCAGCCCTGGCTGTAGCAGCTGTAGCCCTCCTGGCAGGCTTGGCCTTGGCCGACGTGGCAGCACTCGAAGCCAGCGTCGATGCACGAGGAGTCGCAGGCGACCTGGCCGCCGGTGCAGATGTCAGGGCCGCCGGTGCTGCCGCCTTGCTGCCGCGCGGTGAGCAGCGTTGCTGACCCGGGAACGCCTTGGTTGGGGATGTAAAAGAAGATGCCGGTGCCAGTGGTGTCACCTTCAGGCGCCGTGGCGGCAGCGTAGGTGGTGCATGTTGTGGCGAGGGCGGCGGTAATGGCCAGTGTTGTGTAGCGCAGCATCGTCGGTGCGGTGTGTTATCGAGAGAGGGGAGTAGAGGGGAGTAAATGATGAAGCACAGGGAGTGATGTCCCGTGCACGTCGAGTAATTCGGATCCAGGTCTTTATATCGGTCGTCTTGTTGATGCAAAGGCTGTATGCGTCGGGTGTACAACCAATTGCAACGGGCAAAGGCCTGTTGCCAAGATGGATGTGAAGCAACACAGGTGACGCGGGGGTCAGACGGGAAAGACAAATGGCTGTGGAGGAGTAGTTAGCCGCCGGGCCGTATCTCATCACCAACAGTGGCGGCCGACGTGAGACTTGTTTTTGTGTTTGTCCTTGTGCGTGCAAGATGTTCAACAAAGTAGCCAAAAGAAGGAGAAGAAAAGCAGCAGTACGATGATCCCCCCTCTTGGATGAGCAGTCGTGAGGAGGTGAGCGAACATGTTGCTCTCTCTCTCCCTCCTCGCATGGGAACTTTCCTGATCCCGACGACGCATCCACCCACACACACACGCAACACATGCAGCAGTTACCAAGCAATGCAACTACGCAGGCAGCTTCCTAATTGCTCGATAGCGGCTCCCCATTCCGTGTGCTTGTTGCAACCCAACGGAAATGACGGGCTCTTCTAACCAAAGTTACTGATAGGCGGAGACTCTACTAAAAGTTACTGGGTTATTTTTAGGATGGGTGGCGAAAAAGCAATCAGCAACAAGTCAAATCGTGGGCGCCGCCCCTCCCCTTCCGGGTCCCCCAGGGTGGCTGGACGCTAGCAAAGTCAGGATCAGGCTATTATTGACAGGTTGCGCAGGGAATTGCAAGGGAAACAAGCAGGGGTCGAAATCTTCAGCACAACCCCCGTTTTGCCCATTTTTGCTCATCCCGTCCCATCCAATGGCACCCACGGGGTAAGCGCTGTGTGAAACGAATTACTTTGAGTGGCTTTGGGGGGGGGGGACAAGAGCACAATCATGTCAATCAACAGCAACTGCCCCACCGCCAAGTGCTGCTCATCTTGTGTTTGGCACCAGCCTGAATAAGGAGCAATGGCGACGATTAAAGTTGAGCAGAACCGGGATGGGAACAATCTGCACGGAATGTCTCCGCGCCTTCCCCGTCCAACCGGGATCCAATTCATCAGCGACGGCTTCGTACCCTTGCACCCTAGGACGCCGTCGCAACTCGAGAGAGGTGGGGACCGCTCGCGAGCCACTCGACTGGACTTGCTATCCATGCCAGCTTACCCTGTACCCAGGGAACAAAATGCTTCAAGTACGACAAATCGCATCTCACTTCGAATTCCAACTTGGCAAACTTTGGGATTGAATGGCCCATTGGCAAGTACAGAATCTCCGAGTGTGGGATAGCAATGGGGCTGTTCGAATGCTGGTACAACAGTTTAGCCTCGACAAATTGTCATGTACGTTCAACACAGCTGCAGAACAGCAATGCAACCAAAGGCGGAGATCCCTTGGGTGAATAAGAGAAACGGTGGGAACCTTCTGAAAAAGCTCACTGATAATATTCAACGTAATGGAATCACCGAGGACAAGGTGGTTTTGAAGGGCGACTAGTTCCTCATCGTCGTCGCTGAGGGGTTGTTCTCTCGGTCGAATTCACCTATAACTCGCGTGCGCCGGTCTTGTTCAAGGCATCTGGTATAGGAGACCAAGACCCCCATCACTCTCACCTCGCTGACGTCAACTTCGTTGGAGATTCTTGTATGTTGGCTTAGCGAAAGAGTGGTTTGGTTGGGTGTTGTTGGCACCGGTTACTCTGTAAGTGAAGCCATCACCATTGCGTATAAGTGAGGTCACAAGTAGGTAAACCACCACCACCACAATTGCAACAACTTATAATTTCTCGAAGCAAATTTCTTATTTGACAGATACAAGTCATTCACAGCAACCACACAGTTTTAAAGCTCCAAGTCCTTTTGCACCATCGTCCCCACCAATACCTCACACGCCAGCGTCACCCTCAGCTTACAACCTTGATAGCCCGTCGTCACGCCCACCACGACCTCCTTCCCACCGCCGCCCCCTCCCTCCACGGCCAACCTCTTGACGCTGCCTCGCCAAAACCACAGCAGCTTCCCCTTCCCCTCCTCTCTCCCCTCCAGCGCCTCCATCACGCACGACACCCACGGCGTGCGGCCCTTCCACACCGGCGTCGCCTTGTTCTCGAACCCCATCACCACGCGCACCATCATCGTCCTTCGCGAGCCACCACCACCATCGCCACCACCGTCCTTGCTCCGCTGCTCGCCCAAGCCCTCCGCGTCCAGGGTCAGCAGCGGAAACCCCGCGAGCTGCCGCAGCAGCGTCTGCCCGTACGGCGGGTTGCGGCTCATCAGCCGCTCGATGTGGTAGCACTCGAGGCTCGCCAGCCGCCTGACCGTGCGCACGCCCGCGTCCGCCAGCTTCCGCAGCCGCGCGGCGCCGATTCCCTCCACCTGGAGCAGCTCGTTGCCGCTGCCGACGCCGCCGGCTCCCTCCCAGACCCGTGCGTGCACGCTGCGGAGCACGTCCAGTCCGACGCTCACGCCGCGACCGTCGCCGCGGTGCCCGAGGACGTCGATGGCGCACCGGAGGGCTTGGTCAAGCACACGGTAGATGGGCCGCCGGTCCGCCAGCAGCTCGCGCCGCGCCGCCTGCGTCAGTTTGCCCAGCCACTGCTCCCCGGTCAGGTCCATCTGCACGAGGAGCGACGCCTTGTGCCGCGGCTCCGCCACGGGCTCTCGGATCGGGTACGGGATCGGCGTGTGCTCGTTGATGTGGCGCAGCCACGCCCGCTCGGCCGGTCGTATCGCAAAGGGCTGCAGCTCGACGGCTGACAAGGCGGCGTGGAAGACGGTGCTCCGATCTGGCTGCGGGGGGATCTTGCAGATACTGGCAAACGTCGACGGTGCGAGCGGATAGCGCTTGCGAATCTCTTCAAGACCGTCCATGAAAGCTGGTTTGCAATTTTGAGATATCGAATGCAAAAATTTTCATTCGTTGGTATACATGAGGGAGAAGCGAAGGATGGCTGTATGTCAAAAATGCGTTTGACAACAGCTGGCTCCTGCTGCAAACGCTGCCAGCTGCCACCGGACCGACACGACACAATCACCAACTACGGCCCAAGAGCACTCCCATGTTCAAGAGAATCAGTGGTAGGTATGCAACTTCGGTTGTCTAGAAAATACATAAAAATAATGAAGCAAGTATAGGTCCGTCAAAAGAGCTAGTTGCAGCCACAATCTCCCTCGTCGCTGTCACCTCCGCCGTCATCTTTGCGTCCCTTTCCACCTTTGCCGTCTTTTCCATCGCCTTTGCCGTCCTTGCCACGTTGATCTCCCTTGCCGTTGCAACTGCCATCGCTGCTGTTGTCATCGTCATTGTCACTACTATTATCGCAACTGCCATCATTCTTGCCTTTACCATCGTCGCTCTTCTTGTCGCAACCGCAACCATCGTCATCGTTATCGTCGTCATCGGTACCATCAGCACCGCCATCGCCGCCATTACCATCGCCATTGTCGTCATCGCCATTGTCGCAACCGCCGTCGTCATCAGGGTTCTTCTAGCCTCGACGAACGCCAACGTCGTCCCATGCCTTTCGGACGACCTTGCCTGCTTTGAACTCCTCTTCCGCCACATCAACGGTAACATCTGCGAATTGCAAAAATGTGCATCTAGTAGGAATTTTGCCTGAATTCATGGTTTTCCACCAAATTTGGCCGGCTTTCTCCCAAGAGTAGCCGCCAAGAGCAACGGCTGCGAGGTAGAAGGCCTTGTTCGGAATGCCTGAAAAGATGTGGACACCACCGTTGTCGTCGTACATCTGTTTGAAATCTTTCATGTTCGAAACCTGGGGATCTTTTCCCTACAATGACGCGGTTAGAACTATATCGACGGGACGGCAACCGGAAGCAGCACTCACGAAGCGAGGGTCATTGTAAGCGGTTCCTGGTTCCTTCATACTGCGGAGAGCCAAGCCCTTGACACCAGGAAGGAGACAGTTTTCGCCAATCAACCAATCGGCAACATCGGACTTTTCGTCCTCAACCATTTGCTTGACCATGATGCCAAACACGTCCGAGACATGCTCATTGAGGGCACCAGGCTGGCCCTCGTAGTCGAGAGGGCTGGTGTGCTCGGTAATAGCGTGCGTGAGCTCGTGACCAATGACATCGACCGAGGCTGTAAAGTTGTTGAGGAAATCACCGCCATCACCAAAGACCATCTGGCGAACGGTGGGGTCCCAGACTTTTCTTGTCAGCTACGTTATCGTGGCGTGGCCAAAGAAACAGTAGCAGGTGCGACTTACATGCGTTTTCATACTCCTGACCAAAATGAACTGAGCTAATTACATCGGCGTTTTGGTTGTCAATTGAAGTCCACTGAAACTTGTCCTTGTAGAACTTTAGCACCGATCCGACGTTGTCAAAGGCTTCATTGACTGCCTTATCCTTGACGGCCTTTTGGCCTTCGTCTCGGACGAGCTTGCCTGGCAGACTGCGCTCGCTGGTTGCATTTTCGGCATCGTACACGGCACGGCGCGTTTCTTTTTTCGGCTTTGATTTGGCCTGTGCACCAAGAGTTTGAACTTCTTGTTCGGTGCCTATTATTTGTTAGTGGATAGGCGGGGAGATGCTCGGATACTAGCGCGGACCTTGGGAGGCCTTGTATTGCTCAATGACGCCTTCGACGTGCTGGAGACTATCCTTCGCACGTGCACGTGTGTCTTCATCATTGACTTCGGCGTCGGAGATGTGTCGGAATACATGAGGAGGGACAAACTGCTGTGGCTGCCGGGTGGTATACCCGCGAGGCTGAGAGAGGGTAGCGAAGAGCTCCTTGCGGGCCGAAGAAACCTTTTCACGAGAAAGAAGACATGCTTTGGCAGACTCGCGAATTTTCTCGGGATTGCTAGTCGAGTCGGCAATAGCCTGCAGGAGATGGGGTGGGACGATATAGCAGCGTTGGCCACACATGGCGAAGGCTTTGTTTGGTATCGGTGCAGGTTTTGTGTTGAGACGATGGTAAAGTATAGGTGAATGGATGCAGAAACGAATGCAGAAATGCACGCAGGACTTGGGAGATTGGGAGATATGGGAGATATGGGAGATAAAAAGAAGTGAAAAAAAGGGAATCCTGGTAGAAAAGGTTACGGTTTTATGTTTGCGCGGCAGTTGATCGTTACTGCCAAACAGCTGGCTTTGTGGTATGTGGTGCAGGAACGAGCAAGCTTTGGGGTCCAGATCCACGCGGTCTCATGACGCTCAGCTGGGAATGAGGAGCCAGGAAAGAAGGCAGACGATCCCAACATGGCTTCGACTACGGAGCCATACGCAGGCTGATCGAATACACGTGCGGTGGCCAGTCGAGGCTGTTGACAACATTCGCAGGACAATGCAGCGAACCAAGCTCCAGGTGGCATCTGGCGACGATGGTCTGACAGGTATGAATGCATTGATTCCATCATTATCTGTTCTTGTGAATCTTTTTCTTCAATATTCTTCATAATTTTCGAATCTCTGTTTACTAGTACTGACGTCTTTAACTTGTTCGCCTCGTCGATCTTTACGGTTCGACTTGTGGCCAACGCAAGCCTGTTTCGAGTCTAACCAAGTGGTGCAGGCAGATATCTTACTGCCCATTTCAGCGCAGCTACAAGAGCAGCCACTTCAGCCTACTACAGAAACTTTAAAAGATTAAGAGGCTACTGGAAGAAGAATTGATCAGCAGGCAGACGTCGCTACGGTCGCGACTTGGCTATCAACATTCGACAGGTGATCAGGTCGCGGCGACTACCAACCACTAACCACCAAGTATCAGCTACCCAGCCACTTATCAACAGACACTGGACCGAACGATTTGCCGCAAATCACTTATCACATTCACAAACTCACTGCCGATTGGAGGGGCGGGACGGGCAGTCGTCAGCGGTCGCTGGAGGCGTCCTCGCTAGCGGCGCGGTGCGGGACACCCCGCCAAACCCAAAATCGAGTCATCAGAACAAGCTCAAGTCCAACTACACACCTTGGATGACTAGTAGCTGGCATGAATCACGACATTTCGCGAATACAACAGACGAGAGGGACTGGGCTTGTCCAAGCTCCAACGGCAACTGCCACCAGCTATGTGTGAGCTGCTCTGGGAAGTAGAGGGCTGATCATGTTTAGTCAGACAGACAACACCCGCGCGACAGCCTCGCGCCGCGATACTTGCCGTCCAATTCGCCCATGCTCCCGCATTAACAGACATGATGTAATTGTCAGCCGCAACATATTCCATTCCCTTCTGAGCCACAACATGACGCCGCATCGCCCACGCCCGGCGCAATTCACAATCGCAACAAGCCGCAAAGACACCCATGATGGTCCAATACCAAGTACCGCCGGTTCAAACAAACGAACACGCACCAAAAGCGGTGTGCCGCCGCGCCTCACGGGATTCGAAAGGAAATTAAGATCCAAGCAGGACCCCTCCACTGATTACTGCGGATTTTAGAACATGGGCGATGTAGCGAGTGCCATCGAGACAATTGGGGTGCCCGCTGCGACGCTGACGCGGAAAATTAGTCCGTCTTTGGCACTGGTGAGCTCTCTGGCTGGGTCCAAGGCGTCTCAGCGCGGGGTGCCACGACTACCTCTCATTCGTCCATTCGCTATTCGTCCTCAGTCGCTCGGCGAGAGAATCTCACCGCACTCTCTTGTTGATACACGTCCCTGCATATCACCAAGGTAGAGCGTAGATGTATCCGTTGTCGTTTATCGTGGGGTTCTCCATCCCCATCTCCGTGTCGTAGACCAGCCCTGCCCCAAGGCCGAAGTCCGGCGGTGACTTGAACAGGGCTGGGCAGTCGAGGAGTATAAAGGAGGCATCTTTCTCACCGAAATGCATTCGATTCTCTTCTCATCATCTAATACAACAATACAACTTGATACTATCCCAACAACTCCATCTCAAAAGATCACCCTCACCCCCACAACCGCAAAAATGGCTATTGATCACATGGTCCTCAAGGTCTCTGCCGACAAGTACCAGGAGACTCTCAAGTTCTACACCGAGGTTCTCAAGACGCTCGACTACGAGCTCCGTCACTCGGTCGGCGACGTCGTTGCCGGACTCGGTCTCAAGTCGGGCCCCACCGGCGCCGCCGACCTGTGGCTCGCCGTCAGCGACACCCCCATTGAGATGCACGTTGCCTTCCGTGCCGAGAGTACGTCTTCCGTTGTTTTGCAGAGCCACGGTAGCTTGGTATTAACAATTTAAATAGACCGTAGTGTTGTTGACGCCTTCCACGCCGCCGCCCTCGCCGCTGGTGGTTCCGACAACGGTGCTCCCGGCCTGCGCCCCCAGTACCACCCCGACTACTACGCCGCCTACATCACGGACCCCGCCGGTAACAACATCGAGGCCGTTCACCACCACCCCGCGTAATTTGGTGATGGCATACGAGCTTGATTGAGTGTTGGCTTGACTTTTGGCGTGGTGTTGGAATGTGCGATGATGATACGGACGATGTATGAATGAGATGGGGTTGATTTAGGGCTTGCAGCAGGTAGCGCAATTGCGAGCAGTGTAATGACGAGGATACGATGCATACTAGAATTTGAAACTGTTGCAACATGTCCCAGAACTGTGAAGAAGAATGGTATAGATTGCTGAGATGACTTGCAAGCTCAAAGTAGACTTGTAACTTACACTGGCAGGGCTATGAGTGGTCGAGCTACAAGACCATGCCCGGTGTATTGCCCATCTTCCAACACTCAGCGGGGGCAGAACAAAGGGAAAAAAAAAAGTAAATCAAGTTTGGTGGTTACGAAAAGAGAGAACAAAGATCCTGATTTATGACGGCCATCCTCGAGATTGTTTGCGTTGTGTTTTAAGCTTACCATTAACGTCAACCAACCACCCAGCGGCCAGTATAGTGTAACGTCTAGACAACAACGGGCGCGACCATCAAAGACGTTGGGAGAATAACGGGGAGCTTGTGAAAGATGGGCCCAGGCGAAAGGGGAGATTTGTTCTTCTTCTTTGTCCTTCCCTTTTAAGCCCCCAACAAGGTGGTGACCCAGCAATTCTGCGAGAAAGCTGCATGCGAAGCCCAAGTGGTCATGCGGGGGGGGCCGATTGTGAGTATTTGCTGCCTGCGCATCACAACGTATGGGTGGGTAGTACAAAGTAATCAAGCAGGAGGAGGAGTTTCATCGTGCTCGCTGGTTAACTAGCAATAAATGGAAGAAAAAGAAGACGAAAGAATTATTTTTTCCGACAAACTATCTTACTAATAAAAGAGAATCTTTTAATATCACAAGGCGACAACGAGGGGTCAGGTCCGCGCCTTTTTTGGTTCCCCTGGCACCGTGCGAGCATCCGCGTCGCATCCACCCTGGTCAGATTGCATGGAGATGCCTTGCATAGACAACCACCCCCTCGAAATCCCTCCGCGTTTCATCCCTCGGAGGAATATATAGACGAATGCGGATGCATTTTTCTCACTGCTGCTCCTTGTCCTTTTATGCCTTTCGAAGAAGAAAAAAAAAAGTCCAGCCCTCTTCCTGTTCACAACATAGGCAGGCACACTTCATTTCTCACGATCCTCTGCAACTGACTCGCATCTAGAAGCCCAGGCCTACTGTTCAGTGAGACAGCTGTCACGGGGCGCCCTGGCCCCTGTAGCCCTCTGGTTCGCCTTACGAGGAAAATTAATTAAATTCTTCGCTGCCCTGTATTTATTGTTTCCGCGCCCGCATTTTGCTTTGATGATGTGCCTTGGCGCAGGCTCCTCTAGGGCGATTTCCCACTTATTAGTGGAGGAGAGAGGCAAGGACACGAGGAGCGCTGCGAGCCGTAAAGGAAAAGAAAAGCATGATGACGGGCCATCTAGTCTCGGCATTAACGATCAAGGAGGCCAAGTTCAGAAGGACGTCGAAATTACCAGTACTTTCACAATAAGGCTGCCGAGCCGCTAGTACATCATGCTGGCCTGCTTATCTCGGGCTCATCCACACACGTTCCAGTGGACAACACGAGTCCCCATCAAAATGAAACCCTGACTATCCGAAGTTGGCCATAACAAGTTCACCAATAAACACATACGAGGTAAAATCGCAGATTGCTTGTAGAATAGTCTATTTCTCCCCATACTACTATGAAAGAACAAAACTAGGTATCCCATACAACCAGACTCCCAACTCAGAGGCCGAACTCTAGTTGGTGACGCGTATCCACCGCTATATATTAACAAGATCGGCTCGAATTTGTACACTCTAAATCATATCCGTAGAGGACCTCCCATGTAACATTACTCCGTAATCAATGCTTACAGAGCAAGGGCGGCGAGGGCACCGAAAGCAATGGCGCCAAGGGCGAGGCCAGCCTTGGGAGCCGCGTTAGGGACGGCAGTAGGGGTGCTGGACCCGGTGGCGGTAGCGCCGGAGTGGCTGGTGCTGGAGTGGCTGGTCGAGTTGGCAGCGGACGAGGTAGCGCTGGTCATGGTGGTGGCAGCCGAGGACGACGACGAGGCCGAGGCCGAGGCAGAGCTGGACGAGGCAGAGCTGGTAGCGGTGGTGCTGCCGCTCTTGGAGGCGGAAGAGGAAGAGCCGGAGCTGCCGTCAGAGAGCTTGACCTGGATGGACTTGGCGGAGCCGGTCTTGTCGCCGTAGACGTACTCCTTGACATTCTTGTCGGTGGCAGAGGAACCGCCGGCGTAGTCGGTGACCTTGACGCTCTTGTAGATGGCGACAGCGGGGCCGTTGGAGAAGTCAGCAACACCGCCAGCCCACTCGATGGTACCTTTGGCGTTGCCGTCGTAGCCGGCAACCCAGGCGCCAACCTTGACCTGCATGGGAGACTGAGGGAACTTCTCGCCGACGTCAGAGGCCTTGAGGGTACGGACGGACTTGCCGTCGATGAACCACTCGACCTTCTCGGCGGTCCAGTCGAAAGCGTAAGTGTGAGTCTTGGTCAGGGGGCTATCAACAGCGTGGAAGCCACCACGGTCGTAGGTGGTGGTGTCGCCCTTGCTGAAGTAGTTGGACTGGATCTGCTTGTTGTCGGCACCGACGGTCTCGAAGTCAATCTCATCGAGATCGTCGGAGAGAAGGACAAGCGAGGTGATGATGCCCTTGCCCTCAGCGGCCTGGAGCTGTATCTCGACGTGGCCGAAGAAGATGTAGTTGTCAGAGCGGAGGGTGGGAGCGTCACCCTTGGCGCTCATAGGGAAGCTGGCGCCATTGCCGTCATAGGTAATCTTGGTGCCAATGGACTGGAAGCCGTCGCACTCGCCCTTGGTGAAGTCGCAGTTCATGCCATTCTTGCCGAAGGCAGGGTCGGCAGGGCAGTCTGTTCAGCTTGGTTAGCATGGTGAGAGAGCAAGAGCTTGGCGGAAAGCAGAAAGCAGAGGAAGGGGCGGTAACGTACCCTCCTTGAGGGGGTTACACTCAGTCGAGGTCTGGGCAACGACGGTGCTGGCAAGAGCCAGGACGGCGGCGGTGGAAAACCTGGCGAACATGTTTCTGTATGTTGTTGCTAATAGGAACGATGTCGAGAACGATTGTCGAATGTGTGTATATGTAAATGCAAAAGATATTAAGGTTGCAAGTAGGAGAACTGTAGGTAGCGAGAGACTAGAATAGGTCAAAAGAAAAAGGACGAGACAATGGGGTGGAAAAGGAAGCACACGAGGATGAGAGATCAGGAGGACGGGCACAAAGGAGAGGGCGATGAGACGGGGTGTTTTATTATTACATTGTGGCGGGCAGCGAGGGAGCTGTGTGGCACGCAGGTACCCCCCAAAAAAGCCCCAAAGCTGGCCATCCTCTCCATCTTGCTTCTTTGCTTGGCAGGTAGAGCAAGGCCCCCAGTCCCTACCAACCTTGCCATTGGTGGACTCCACAGTGAGCCCCAGGGGGTTGGTGGGTTCCACCAGGCTTAACCTAGCCCAGGGACCCAGGCGCCGGCTGGCCGCCCCCCCTTCTTTGGGCGTGACATTTTTGTCGCAGATGCTGCGCGGACGCACACTGTGCTTGCATTGTGTGCAGGTCATGGGTGATGAGGGCAGGGTCGGAGCTATGGTGTGTGGTATCCAGGCCCAACTAATCAAGGCTCCGAGACAGCGAGGCAAGGCGAATCAGGCTCGGCGGATATACTCGTACCCATGGAACATTGACGGCCGAGCCCACTAACTACCTAGCTGGTCCCGCACCGTGCAACGGACAAGTCGACAGCGTTGATGTCAACCGCATTACCATTGCTGCGCCTGCCTGCCAACCCACTGAGGTAACGTATTCTGTACCGTCTTTCAGCGGCGTCATCGTCACATTCGGCGATGCCAGAGAAATAGCGGTACACAGCGCCTACTAAAACTCGTAACAGAAGAAGTTACGAGCAAGTCTTTCCCCGTTCTTTTTTAGCCGCAACTGATGCCATATTGAAGTGAAAAAAAAATCATGCAGCCTTGTTTTCTTTGTGTTTTTTTCTTCGTCTAAGTACCTTTGTGGGTGCGTGGTTGCACATCTCTCTGACAACGAGCCGTTCTCTATGCCGCTGCCAGATTGAGTTTTCCCAAGTTCCTCCCCCCCCCCCCGGTGAAACCGCGCGGCAGCAACGTTAATAACAATCAAGTAAGGGAGGGTGATAGCGCCAATAGGTACAAAACCCCCCTCCTGAGTCGAACGAAAAGGGGACAGTGAGCAACGCCACAGTAGCACAAAAGCCCGCTGTGGCAACGGTGACTTGACCTGCTGCTGGCAGCTGGGCGTCAACAGGTCACCCGAGTACCAAAGGTAGATGGCGGGGTTTGCGGCAGCAGCTTGCAGCCTGCAGGTACCGTCATACGCGAGCTCTGCTGGCAAGGCATGTACATGATTATGTACACATGCGGGCCAAGTCGGGCTGCAGCAGCTTCTTCCTGGACAGAACTAATTGAGAAGCAAGCAAAGGGGCTGTCATGAAGAGAAAATTGTATCCATACTTTGGTACCTTTTGCAGGATGAAACAGCTATGTAGCTAACTGATTACTGCGCAAGTGGTCGCACCCGTGGCGATCGGACGGCCGCCAAGTCGGACGAACGAAAACGAAGAGGCGGGAGTCAGCCAGAGACAATTGAAACACATTATTCGCTTGTACTGGGAACATCGCACATTGATTGGGTGGCAAAGATACATGGCCGAGTCTCACTATGTTGTATCATTGTCCACTTGTCGCAGGTCCCAGCTGTGCACATGCTGAGGAACTAACGTGATAGAGGACGGCTGGTAGAATTAGCACTGTGCGGCAGACGGCCCGCCTCACACACTGTGCCGCTCCCTCGATGAGTAAAAGCAAAGCTCCCGTCACCGTCATCGTCTCTTCTCGTAACGTCCCCAGCCGCGAGCCCAAAAATATCATGACTAGTCGATAGACGAGCGCAAGGTACCAGCAAAAAGACGGCATCAGCCGGGGACCGAGGGCAAAAAAAAAAAAAAAAAAAAAAAAAAAAAGTCGGTCAGTCACCCGGGCTTCGTCTGATTCCAGCATCATTCGACGAATAGGCTGGCCTCATGCCAGTTCGTATTTATCCTTCTCTTTTCGGTTGCTTTTTTGGCGCCTGGCCCCGCTGTCAGGTGTGGCTGTGCCAGAACCAAAATCCAGCCCAAGCGGCCGCTTTGCTGGCAAACAATGGAGGTGGAAAACACTGCAAGTCATTCAGTCACCAGAACTATTTTTTCTTTGACGCCAAGAAACGTCATTCCTATACCCAATGTCTATTTTTATCCCCAAGCTGTAGCTAGCTTGTTTTTTGCCGCGAGTTCACGATGGGCTCGTGTCTTCGCCTTCTACTTGCCTGCCGGGCGGTTGCTCTGATGAAGTGCTTTTTCTATACCCAGTGTTTGTCAATCTCCCGACTTTTAGTACCCGTTGAGGGAATACGTAAGAGTTCCCTCTCGCGGCGAGGTGCTGGGTTGTTATTTGGGTTCAGCCAGCAATCCTCGAAAACAGCCCGTGGCGCCGCCCCGGTGGCCGGCACATCGGCATCAACTTGGCGCCCCCCCCGTGCCGCCTCGCACGGCTCTCAGCGCCGGGGTGCTACACTTGATAAAATGACGAGCGAGCCGGTTTCCCGCACCATCAACTCTCTCCTCCCTCTCCTCCTGCCATCCTCCCCAAGCTCGACGCTGTGTGGCTGAACGGGGCAGCGGCTAACCACGGCCAACCAGCTTCAGTAGCAACGGCTGAGTTTCTTATCAGAGAGGACGTGTGACGTCTCTCACAGAACTGAGTCCAAAAAGCTCTGAGAAACCCGACATTCCCATACGTTTGTTGGTCGGTCTACAGCAAGCCAAGATTCACTTGTTCAACCACGACTAGTTGATCTGCCTTGTTTGCTTCGCACTCGCTTTAATGGGTCTATGTATAATAACTCATAGTCAATGGGTGATTCTAGCTTCGTACCGAGCTCCCCAAGCTATGCTGCAAACGATCCGCCTCGACCGCCCACCGACCAACACTCCCCCGCCGCCCAACGAACCGCACGGTGTCCCACTGCGTTTTGCAGCGTGACCGTCACTCATGCATTTTGCGACAGCCTTTGGCACGAGATTCTGCCCTCATGTTTTCATACACGAGATGGTCTCATTTTAGGCACTAGTGACGGGCGTGGGCACTGCCTGCATTCCAGTCACATCGACAATGATGCCCATTGTTCCCACGTGCGGTGTCTTGCTCAAACAAGCGCGTACAGCAGCTGAACGAGGAGCGGCTTCTAGTTTTGTTTCTCTCGAAACTCGGGCCTGTCTTTGACGGTCGCTCTGATACCGATGCCACCATCTGGCCTTGCGCCAGATTCGCAGCCTGCCCTACCCTAGACTGTGCGGGGAGGTCTGTCACCAGATCTACAAGTTGGTCAGACGCACACTGTCGGTACATTTTCATGATTGATTCTTCGGTTACACGAAACATAGTCGGCGCTTTACCATCGTATTATCAGGCGATAATAGATGGCGTTGACGTGCATCACCAAAGTTTCAAAGCAGCGCTTGTATGGCGGAGGGAGGTCATCCACTACTAGCACCCTCGCTGCTGGTGTCTACTTTTGCTAAGCTCTTCCTAGTTTTCTTTGATGAAACGTCGTGCACGCAAGATACGCAATCAAGCATGCTGTAGCATGTCCGACCATTAAAAGCCTCCTCGTGGTGAGGCGAATCCAGCGACATACAAATCATCGCCCATTGCAACATAGTAACAAGCGCGCATCACTTCTCTGTAAGCCTAGTCCCAAAGGCTGCCGTTTTCCCCATGAATGGTCGGTGCTAGAGTTGTTATTAGATCGGAGAGGCGGTTCGGACCTCAGGACAAACCCCTTCCGCCCCTCCAACTGACCTCCCCGACACCGGCTCCGCCGCCTTCGCCGCAAGTAACATCTTTGGAGGTCATTATGCACATGCCTATGCCGTCTTGATGGCCTGCTGCCTCTCCCAACTTGCGGTCTCGCTTCAAAGTTATTCCGGACACGTCATTGTCGTTGTCGCTCTACATTGCAACGTAGTAGCTCAAGCCGAGACGACCAGCCTTGGCTCGGACTGATTCGCCAGTGAAGAATCGACCACATTGTAATAATCTGGTTGTTATTTGAATGTGACTGCCAGGTTCGTTCCGCCGACTTGCTACCGCTTCTTTGTTTCTCAACACGTGGCCCCATGCAAGCTGGCAGAGAATACTTGCTGTTCGGTCGGATATCCTCAATAGGAAGGACGGAATCACTACGCACAGTTTGGTACAATAACTACTTGGCACCAGCCAGAATGGGAGTTCTTATCCGGAATAAAAAATGACACTACGCCTTGTCGGTATGCCCACGCGATGAATTGGGTAATTCATTGTCATGAATATGAGATGTGAGATGATTCTCGACAAGAATCTACACCATTGGCGTCCTCTGCAAAATTGCCATATGACAAGGATACGAGAGCCCTGGTTCCGGACCTTGGTAGTCGTGGCTCAATGAGTTTCGTCTGATTATAACCCGTGGGGACGATGAGGCCCAAAGATCGCAAAGCAAGCTTCCTTGTCGAAATATTCTCGTATTCAGGGCTGAAGCGCGCGAATGGCCTGCCCCGATTTAAGGCTGCTCAGGGGCCCAGCCCTGAGCTTCGTATCAAGAACAAGGGGTCCGGGATCTCTAGACAGTTACCGGGGCCGGCGTGAGGACGTCAATGCCCCACGACAACCTGAATAACTACCTGAAATTGAAGCTACTTGATGCCGGCATGAACGTGCTTGGAAGCATCGCATCGTTGCCAAGTAATTCTCCGGCGGTCCAAGAATAGGGCTCGCGGCGAATTGGTAACTTTTCTAATCTGTATCCTTGTCCGCATTGTCAGGGATGGTGAGTTCTAGAACGAACCGGAGCCCATTCGAACTTGAAAGCTAACAAAACCGCAATTGTAGCCTGGCTGCAGTTTATCGCTTGTGGATTTTCCAGAGCTGATGTTCTCTCGTCTCTTGCACGTATAATGGCGAGAAGCTGGGCGTGGGACGCTCAGTAGTGCACTGCGCTACGTGAGAGGGATGAATGACCGCTTGGCAGAATATTCCTTTGGCGAGGGCTGCAAATTTGCCATTGCTTCCGGAATTGTTCGGTGAAAGTGGTCAGGGTGATTGGGCAGGGCGTTTGGGCGACGGGGATCGCGGTGTTGTTGCAGGCTTGCAGCTGAAAGCACGCGACTGCAACGAGCACCGTTTGTGTTCACTCGGCAATTTATTTCGTGTGATCTGGATTCTGGACCGACTGGAGGGTCGATCATTCTCTGCATCCATTAAATTTTTTCCGGAGAACGACAGCGGTCGTCTGCATCGAGGCAAGGGCCCTGGTCAGCATGACATGCGGCAGACCCTGGCATGCATGGTCGAGCATGCATTGGCTCGGCAGCTAATATGGACGACTGCGGTGGCATCGAACGGTTCTCGACCGGCGAAGAAAGCCTAAAGCCTAAAGCCGGGCTTGGAGCCCCAAGAGCCGACGTCAACTGACCGGCTTCGGTTTTCGAGGAGTCGAGACCGAGCACCTTTCGGTATTATTGGCATCAAGTTCAAACGGAGGAGGGTGGTTGTTGGCGAGGCGGCGTGGCTTGCGGAGCGCTGTAAGATGACCAAGTCGGAAATTGGCGATGAGACTGATGACTGAGAAAGGCGGGCTACCTGCATATGAGTACTGGGAAAAGGAAGGCCTGCATGGAGATGAGTGATAGAGTGAGTGCATCCAAAGGTTGGTTAGGCAAACGCAGCGCAGCGGAAACGAGCTTGGTACATACGTATTGTGCGTTGGTAGCAAGGCGGCCGTGGGGGTGGATTTTGGGGGGAATTGTCCTGGTCAGTTCAATCTTGACAGGATTATTTGCCAGTCGATGAAAAGTTTGGGGATTCCTTGCATAGCGGAACAAACAATTCCAGCATCACAAGGCTCAGGGGTATCCTCGGCTCCGTCGTGCTCCCGCAAGGGTTGTAGCAGGCTGCGGGCGCTGCGGCGAGTTGGAGGCGCCTGGGCGGGCCTTGACTGTTGACTGTTGACTGTTGACTGTTGACTGTTGACTGTTGACTGTTTCCTGCTGCCTGCTACCTGGCCTTTCTTTGCCTTTGCCAAACGCCAAGCCTACCTACTACGGCAAGCATGGAAAACGCGTTGACGGAAGAAACATTAATTGAAACCAGGGAGAGACGAATAATAATCATCAAGGTGGTTCATAAAAATCTACAGTGGCTCGGGGCTTGTGATACCCCTGGTCCCTGGTGGCTGAAGATGATGCTGGCGGAAAATCGGAATTTCTCCATCGTGAAGCCAACGAGCCGCCTAATTCTGTTACACTACGGATACCAGGTAGCAAATCTGTGCAACTGCGCACTTTCAGGTCCGCTCGTGCTTTTCGTGAGCGGGCACCCTCCTGCAGGCTGTAATAGGTCCGTTTACTGGATTCCTTTCCCGTTTTCTGTCTGTCCGTTTCGCTGCTGTGCATTGTGCATGATGGGTGCTGCGACTTTTGCGTTGGTGGCGCCAATGAGGCTAATGAGGTGTCCAGCTCCCTGCAAATCGCCCCAAGCGAACCGTTCCTTGAATCCATCAAACCATCACTCCATCCATGATCCATGAATGCGTCTATCCACCACACGCCATCCAAAATACAAAGTTTCTAGTCTGGCGGGTTCAAGAGATCTATCCTTTGTTTGGCCCGCCGCTACCTATATCTGCGACGCCCAGCCAGTTCCAATTGGACTCCCCTGGCCCTGGTGCTTTTGCTTTTACAAGTACGGATACCGTGCCTTGTTCGCACACTCGTTGCCCCTTGCAAGGCAGCAAGGTACAGGTACTTTACGGTCGTACAGACTCTTCGTTCCGTTTGCCTGGAACCTCGCCTCGTCTACATTGCTTTCCTCTCTCCATCACCATCATCACGATTCACCCTTGGAATAATCATCATCATCACCGAAAACCTTCTCTCAAATCCCTACCCTTCCCCTTGTGGTAACTACATCAATCGGCCGACGAACAGCCTTGCCTCTAACCGTCTCCGTCGCTCACCCCCCCCCGCTCACCTCGTCCCGTCCACCATCGTTGCCGGCAAGTGCCAGTCCGCAACTTCTCGTATACGAGCTTTATAATTAGTGGTCGACAGTCCTCTGCCTTCGCCGGCATCCGCGTCTCTGCTCGCCTTTCCAAACCGCCCCAAAAAGCTATTGGTGGCACACCATAGGTACTTGGCCGCTGCACCGCTCCGCTCCGAGAGCTCCAATCACCGCAAAACAGGCCTTTCTTTTCCTTGTGCGCCCCTCACAGCCTGCCTGCCTGCCTTACCACGGCCCCATCGACTTGTGCAACCTCTCCCGCCATGCTTAAAGCTCCCGCACCTCCTTGACCCAGAGAACAGTGCTCTTCTCATCTGTTCTTATCTGCATCATCGGCCCATTTGCTCGGTTCCTTTTCTTCCGACGCTGTTGCGTCTAAGTTGCTTCCTTCTATCACCTTGCCAGCTCTTCGTCGGCAACACCGCTTGCCTGTTCACAAACCTGCACTCTAAGAGGCTTGCTTCAATCAGCCGACTGCACTGCACACCGTCCACCACCACCGTCCACCGCTCACTGCGCCATTGCTGCGCCTTCATCCCACCAACCGTTATTTTCGTCACATATAATCAATTCTCCGCGCCTTCTGATCCTCCACCGCCACCCGCCTACCTCCCCGCCCTCCTTCCGTCGCCTTTTCTGTCGTCGTCTCGCCTGGCCCTCGGCCTGCTACTCAGACACCGACGTCTCACTCTGCCAGCGCACTTTAACAGTCTCGCCTCCTCGGCGCGCGTCTGCGTTTGTCTTGTTAGCCTGTCGGATTCCGCATTATGGCGCCCCATAACGATGTCGATGCTTTTCATCGTGTCCTTCAGTCAAGCAAACGTATCCTGATACTGTGCGGAGCTGGCTTGTCGGCCGCGTCCGGTTTGCCAACATTCCGTGGCGCCGGCGGCTACTGGCGCCATCACGATGCGACTCGACTAGCGACGATGGAGGCTTTCAGGACTGATCCGGGCCTCGTTTGGCTATTTTACGGTTATCGTCGACACATGTCCCTCAAGGCCCAGCCGAACGCTGGTCATCGAGCCTTGGCTGCCCTCGCCAAGACAAATCCAAATGTTCTTTGTTTAAGTCAAAATGTTGATAGTATGTCCATATCCATTCGCCCCTGCCCCTTCCGGGCTCTCGCGCTGCAAGAAAAAACTGACCGCCGTTCTAGATCTATCACAACGCGCCGGCTACCCTCTCCAACAGCTTCGCACTCTCCATGGATCTCTGTTTGATATCAAATGCAGTAATGAAAACTGCCACTGGATGCAAATCGGCAACTATGACGATCCTTTCTGCGAATCATTGATTGAAGCTTCCAGAGATGCACCACCGGGCGAGATGCTCCCGCTTTTGGATCCATACCATCGCATCCGACACGTTCCGGAAGAGGAACTTCCCAAATGCCCCGAATGTCATGTTGGCATACAGCGTCCTGGTGTCGTCTGGTTTGGCGAAAAGCTGGATCAGGCCATGCTGTGGAGTATTGACAACTGGTTGAAGAAGGACAAAGTGGTAAGGCTTGCAGCTCAAAATTACCTGATTCCGGGAAAAGCTAACACTACACAGGACCTGATGTTGGTCATTGGCACGTCAGCTCAGGTATTCCCCGCGGCAGGCTACATCGAGGACGCACGCGACTGCGGTGCTGTCGTGGCCGTGATCAATCCTGACGCCGAAACCGAAGAAGAACTGGAAAAGCTAAATCCAGAAGACTTTGCCTTTGGACAAGACGCTGCGACATGCCTGCCAGTGCTTCTCGAACCAATCATCGGCACAGGGCAAGCTGATGGCGAGTTTTCTCGATAGCCGAGCAGGGGTCTGGATCCCTCATTGACGAGTGGCTGGTACTCTCGTTGCGTTGCACCGTGTGCATTGCACCTAATAACAGAGCTATAGCCGTAAGCGGCCGCTTCGGTAGAGCAAGTCTCTGAAGCCACTGACTGGATTGGCATATCAAAAATTTACGGCCTGGCCACGAGCACAGTAGTATGCCGGGTTGGCAAGACATTGCATTTTTCATGGTACTGGGTGCAGGGAATATCTGAAAGGATACATAGATCGGCGGCAACATGTTTCGGTTCCAGGCTTTGCAGTATTGAGGCCGAAGTCTGACCCTCAATACAAAGGGCATTTGCGATCAAAGGTGCTTATTCTCGCCCGGCGTAAACGTTTCGGCAAGGGCTGCCGGAGCACCATCTGATCCTACCAGTTGATTATGACACGAAGAGCCCTCCTGCCCGCACGAGCTAGTTGCGATTTACAAGTACAAGTACGAGTACATGCATTTTCGGCCGATTTCTTCGCCTTCAACCCCCGTCAAAAGTTCTGTAGGTATGAGCTCTATCTTCTTCTAGCCCGGCTACCCCGAGCATATGGTTACATGGTGGCATGCACCTGGTGTTTCCCCGCATGACGTCCCTACGCCAAATAGAGCCTATCCTCCCTTGGACAAAGAATAGTATAAAGAGTCGCGTCGATCGTGTCTTCACCGACACGGGAAGCTACTTTGCACGCCTTTTATTTCCCTGTCGCGAAACATAAATCTAGCTGAGGAAGAAAGTTCCGCGCTCATACTTGGATCTCAATTTTGCTCGCCATGCGCATCACTCCTCTTCTTCTACTTATCTCTCATGCGGCACTGCCCGTCACACTGGCCGAGTGGCTTGATCCGCTCTCCTATGTCGACCCTTTGATCGGCTCTCAAGATGGTGGCAACGTCTTTGCCGGCGCGACGCTGCCCTACGGCCTCGCCAAGGCTGTTGCCGATGTGGACGGCCAGAACACGGGCGGCTTTGGCCTCGATGGTAGCAACGTAACGGGCTTCTCGAGCGTCCACGACAGCGGTACTGGCGGCAACCCGAGCCTGGGCAACTTCCCGTTGTTTCCACAGCTCTGTCGTGGCGACGACCTAGACAGCTGCATGTACCGCATCGACGAGCGCAAGGTACACTACGTCAACGACTCGATACGGGCGTTCCCAGGCCACTTTGCCATCAGCCTCGAGTCCGGTATCCATGCCGAGATGACCGTCTCCGAACACGCGGCGCTCTACCGCTTCACGTTTCTGGAGGGCGACGCGCACCCGCACATCATGCTCGATCTGACGGACTTGTGGAAGAGCCGCCAGAACGCAACGATCCGCGTCGATCCCGGCACGGGTCGTATGACGGGCAACGGGACGTTTCTGCCGAGCTTTGGTGCCGGCTCGTACGTGATGCACTTTTGCGTCGACTTCTTCGGCGCCGACGTCCATGACACGGGGGTATGGGTCAACAGCCGCGCAGGTACCGACCCGAAGGAGCTTTATGTCACGCGCGGTTTCAACCTGTTCTACATCGAGGCTGGCGGCTTTGCGCGATTCACGACTGGCAAGGACCGCACGGTGATGGCGCGTGTCGGCATTAGTTTCAAGAGCAGCGAGCAGGCCTGCCGCAGCGCCGAGGCAGAGATCAGTGAGCCGCTAACCGACTTTGATCGGCTCGTCCAAGAGGCCACGGAGAAGTGGCGGGCGAAGCTCAGCCCCATCCGAGTCAAGAGTGGCGGTGCGAGCGAAGACCTTCTGAAGAGCTTCTGGAGTGGTGCATACCGGAACATGATATCACCGCAGAATTACACGGGCGAAAACCCGCACTGGGATAGCGGGCGGCCATATTTCGACTCTTTCTACTGGTGAGACTCGGGGTGAAGGAGTACAGCTATTTTGAAAGAAAGAAACTAATCTTGTACTAGCATATGGGATGCGTTCCGCGTCCAACATCCGTTCCTGACCGTGGTGGATCCAACCGCGCAGGCGCAGATGGTGCAGACGCTCCTCGACATTTACGAGCACGATGGCTGGCTGCCCGACTGCCACATGTCGCTGTGCAGCGGCTGGACGCAGGGCGGCTCCAACGCGGACGTGGTAATTGCCGACGCGTACCACAAGAATCTGTCGAGCGGCATCGACTGGGAGGTAGCGCTGCAAGCGGTGCTTGCCGACGCCGAGGACGAGCCGCTCGAGTGGTCGTTCCACGGCCGCGGCGGCCTGCGCAGCTGGCAGGCTCTCGGCTACATTCCCTACCTAGACTACGATCCGCACGGATTCGGGACCAATTCACGCAGCGTCTCGCGCACGCTCGAGTACGCCTACGACGACTACTGCCTGGCCACCATGGCCGGCGGCTTGGGCCACCGCGACCTTGAGACCAAGTACCTCGAGCGCAGCTACAACTGGCGCAATCTCTGGAGAGCGGATCAGACTTCCTTTATTAACGGCTCTGACACGGGCTTTCGTGGGTTCTTCCAGCCAAAGTACCAGAACGGCACGTGGGGCTTCCAGGACCCGATCGCCTGCTCAGGGCTGGCGAGCTTTTGTTCCTTGACGACCAACCCGAGCGAGACGTTCGAGGCTAGCATCTGGCAGTATCTATTGTGTGCTTCTTCTTTACTGGTTGGCGTGCGCCTTGTTTCACAGACTTGCTAATACGATGCGTCCAGCTACGTCCCCCACTCGTCCGGCGCCCTTGTCGAGCTCCTCGGTGGTGACGACGCCTTCATCAAACGCCTCGACTACTTTCACACAGTCGGGCTTGCCGACATCTCCAATGAGCCCGTTTTTCTAACTGTGTATATGTACCACTATGCTGGACGGCCGGGGCTCTCGGCGCGGCGCATCCGCACCTACGTTCCGCGATCCTTTAACGCGACCCCAGGTGGGCTGCCCGGCAACGACGACTCAGGCGCCATGGGCTCCTTCTTCTTCTTCTCCGCCCTCGGCCTGTTCCCCGTCGCCGGGCAGAACGTGTACCTCATCAGCACACCATTCCTCGAGGAGGTCAGCGTGACGAGTCCGCAAACAGGGCGGACGGCGACGGTGCGGTGCAGCAACTTTGACTCCATGGGCAAGAATATATATGTGCAGAGCGCGACGGTGAACGGCGCGCGGTGGACGAAGTCGTGGATCGGACATGAGCTCTTCACGAAGGGTTGGACGCTCGAGCTAGTGCTGGGAGACAAGGAGTCGAGCTGGGGGTCGAAGAGGGAGGACCGGCCACCGAGCTTTGCGGTGGAGAGGGAGATGTTGTGAGTTCGCTTGTGTGTCTATTGACATCATTGTTTGCAGATGAAGACCGACCCCGGATTGGCGCTCAGATACTAGCATGTTCCGTTTCGAAGAGAGCATAGTGCGTGCAGATGAAAGACTGACCTCGGAGTTAGCGCTCGAATATCAGCATGTTTCGTTTCGAAGAGAACATAGTTGTATGTAGATGAAGACCGAATCCCGCATTGGCGCTCAAATCCTAGAATATTTCGTCTCGAAAGGAACGTCTCAACAAGCAACAAAGCGTGTCGCTGCTGACAAGGAGTCAGGCAGCAGCGTCGCTATTAAATATAGACAAAGAGAAGGTATATGTTTCGGTTACTAGTTAGAATAGGCGCGCGTGCCTATACGCTTGAGCACAAATCACAATGTCGCCGAAACGCACGCACGTATCGCATGGGGTCATCAGAAGGAGCTTCACGGATAGTCCTGACAACTCGTGTTTCCGAACAGACGCTCAGGACATCGTGCTTTCTCTAGGGGCGGCTACCCGATCATACCTCCAGCCTACCGCTGATTGAGCCTCGACCTCGTGTGCTAATTCCTCGCGACGACTTCGTGCCAGGCGGTGCCGTGTAACACGGGGGGGGGAGGGGCGTCAGAGATGGGTGGTAGCGATGACGGGCTTTGCGTTTTGGGAGGGTTCCTCAAGAGTCGCACAGCATACTCTCGACAAGCATCAACGCGCGCGGGAGTAATCAGAGACGACATGGAGGCCAAGAAAGGCCTTCCGCGGTGTTGGTTACCCATTTTTAGGTCGGTGCAGGTACGTTGTGGTTTATCTCGCGTTTCACGAGAGGCTTCCCTATCTATATACACTTGTAGTTATATAAGAGGACCGGAGGCCGACTTCTCTTGTCGAATCTATTTTAAAAAGTGGCAAAAGAAATCTTGCCGATATACAATAACCATATTAGAACCAACAACAGATATGGCAGCTCCTGGCTACAACTACCCCTACGACAACCCGCCCCCCGAGCCGGACTATGCTGGGACTGGGGCAACCTACCCCGATCCGTTTTGTATTCAGACACAGACCTATGCCGCACCGTCCTTTCCAAACAATATAGTGACTGAAACGGCACACGCAATGCTTCACCCGACGCATGGGATGCGGCTGGGGCCCGAGGCTTCGTTTCCCGCAACCCTCCATCACGTCGGCATGGAGAGTGCTGGTCATTACTACAACATCCATGCGCTCGCGCAGCAGATGCCATACGCGAGCTATTGCGACCAATTCACGCCGCAGTACCAGAATATCTCAGGGCAAACGGCTGGTTCCGAGGCCCAGCCGGCAGCCTCGTATCAAAACGCAGGGCCGCCGACTTTGGCGCGCCATCACGCTTCGGTCGCGCAGCAGCCGCAGCAGCCGCAGCAGCCGCAGCAGAAGCAGCCCATTACGCGTAGGAAGCGAAAGCGTGGCAGGGAGGAGGTCCAGCCGGAGGAGAAAGCTGCTGCTACCAGGGCTTCTGTTACTGCCAAGAAGCCTACTGCCAAGAAGCCTGCTACCAAGAAGCGAAAGCTGAACACGGCGGCAGGGGCGCACCAAACCGCGACATGCGATGCGACATGCGATGCGACAGCGAGCTCAAGTGTCAAGCTGGCAAAAGCACTAAACATGGAAATGTACGATAAGTACCGCGAGTCACTCGAGACCGCTAGAATACCAGAAGTCATCCTTCATAGAAGGGACTCGAAAGATGTCAATTGGATCAACTTTGACGAAGTGACGCACATTGTCTTGAAGTGAGTGTGCCTCCTCTCCCCTCCCCTCCTTGCCTCCCTCGGCGACCTCGCTTGGTTTTCAACTGACTACTGACAAACAACTGAAAATCAGGTCCTACCGACGGGAGCAAGAGCGAATCACGGAAAAAGTAAAAGTGGCGTACAACATTCATTTTCCCTTCGTCACCTGGTCGTTTCTCAAGCGCATCCTCGAAGCAGCCCTCTTCGGCAACACGGAGACTCTGAAGTACGTCACCGCGTGCGTCTACGAGCAGCGCGAGTTCATCGTCTTCGCGAAGAGCTCCCTCGCAGACCCCGGGAAGGTGGCGGGTAGGACCCTCGAGGTAACCCTCGGCTTGACAGAGGGCGAGAACAGGTTGCAGGACCCTATACAGGCGATCTGGCAGCCAGCTGGAAGCCAGCTCATTAATAGTAAGGATATGCACGTTTTTGCTTATCCCACTACTTAGTTCTCGCTGTTTCTTTTATCCAAATTTGGGGGATCAGGAGCTAATTCAGGAACTTTAGATCTGCAAGGCACGCTCCCGAACCGCGACGTGGAGATTTTTGACAATGCATGGTGGCAGGACGCCGAAAGGGGGTTAAAGGAACCCGTCAACGAGAAGTGGTTGGAGGATAAGAGTGCTCTGTGGGTGAGTAAAGTCAAGATGCTGGCAACGGCGCCGTCAAGCTACGATGATGCTATGGACAAAGGGACAAAGTACAGGCATGCACAGCTGGTTCTCTCAGTACCCCCAGTGGCGTGGAAGCGACTCTTCTTGGATACTGAAAAGGAGAAGGGAAATGCGGACAAAGACAAAATCGAGGACTCGCTGCAAAAGCTGGAAGGCGGAAGGGAGAATGCCAAACAGAGGAATGCCTTGAAAGCCAGAAAGAAAAAACTGGAGGGCAGGCTGGATTCGCTGGAAAACGAAAACAGGATTCTTGTGCAAGTCAACTCTATATGGATGAGTCGACAAATTCTTGTACACGACGGGCAACAGTACCACTGGGTATTTTATGGCGAAGAGACGCGCAGGTGGATGATTCCCGTCAAGAATCTGCTCGGACGGGTCGGACCATAGTGTCCGTTTTCGAAAATCAAGGATGACGTACGGAAGAACAAAGAGAGGCAGAATGTACTGGGCCGGTGGTTTCTGATGGCAAACGTCAAAAAGGCTTGTATTTTACAATTAGATTGCTGCGTCGGTTTTGTTTAGAATTGATTGATTTGATTATCCGATCATCCTACCTGTAGAATGCCATGTATGTATGTACAGTGGGTTGACAAAAGTTTCAATCGGTTCGATACTTCCCCACTAATTTACATATAAAGGTGTATAGTTTTCTACTTATAATAACTAAAGAACTTATTTATAAATAAATAATACTTTAAATCTAATTAATTTATTTGAAGAATAAATTACTTTCCGTCTATTTACTTTTTATTTTAAGACTATATAACTATTAAAATATCTATTAGAAGTTAAAAGTTTTATGTTTTTACTAGATAAGGGTAAATTTACTAGTAAAAGAGAAGTACTTTTTTTTTCTTTAACTTTATCCCTTTATAACTTAAGATATAAATACTAAGATATAAAAAAGAAAGAATATATAAAGTATATTTATAATAATTTCTTTTATTAAATTTATTATAGAATTCTTAGTATTAAAGTGAGAGAGTTCTAATGTATTAAAAATATAGCGTTTTAGCGTAAAAAGGGGTAACGCGGGGAGCTTTTATCAACCCACTGTATGTTGCCCCACCGCTTCATGAACTTGCTGTATTGCGATGACGTTGGTCAAACCCTGAAAAATACTCTGCCTGGAAACTTGCCATGCACAACTACCCCTTTGCCGCCCAGCAAACACGGCCATAACCCGAAAACGAGCCGAAATTAAACAGAAAAAGGAGCGTCAACCCCCGAGACGAAAGAAGAGCGACCTCCGCCCCCGTATCCCGCCCACCATGCAGGGCTTCAACATGGGCCGGTACGTGCCGCCCGAGCACGAGGGCACCGCGAGCGGCAACGCGCTGCACGGCAAGACGCGCCGCCTCGCCGCCCCCCCGACGGTGCGCTTCGAGATGCCCTACGCTGCCTGGTGCGCCACCTGCCCGCGGCCGACCCTCATCCCGCAGGGCACCCGCTTCAACGCCGAGAAGCGCCGCGCCGGCCGCTACCACACCACCCCCATCTGGAGCTTCCGCTTCCGCCACGCCGTCTGCGGCGGCGCCGTCGAGATGCGCACCGACCCGCAGAACACGGCGTACGTGGTCGTCTCTGGCGCCACGCGGCGCGACACGGGCGACGACAAGGAGGAAGAGGAGGAAGTGGAGGGCGGGGTGGCGAGGTTGACGGAGGCGCAGAGGGTGGAGCTCCGCGGAAACGCGTTTGCCAGCTTGGAACGCACGATCGAGGACAGGGAGCGCCTGGTGAGGGGGGCGCATCGCCTGGACGGGCTGGCGGACGCGGCGGACAGGCACTGGCGTGATCCGTACGCGCGCAACCAGCAGCTGCGGAGGGCGTTCCGCAGGGGAAGGCATGAGCGCGAGGCGAGTGCCAAGGAGACGGAGGCGCTGCAGGCGCGGATGAGCCTCGGGATGGACATCTTGCCGGAGACGGCCGAGGATGCGCGGCGCGCGCGGCTGGTGGACTTTGCAGCGGAGGGCGAGGATGAAGGCGGGGATGATGGCGAGCCGGCGTTGTCGAAGCCGCTGTTTGAGACGCCGCCGCCAGTGAAGCAAGAGGGCGGGGAAAGGGGGAAGTGGAAGGGGATGGGTCGGACCAAGGGAGCCCGGAAGAGGGTGCAGACGAGGGAGGCGTTTGCCACGCAGGTCGTGGGGAACACGAGGGCGGCCAAGGATCCGTTCCTGCTCACCGGTACTGCGGGCACGAGGAGGGGCGTAGACGGCAAGGCTGCGGCCAAGATACCGGGCATCAAGCGGAAGAGGGTTGCGTTGGCCGCGCAGGTACCCGAGCCGCCGGGCACGAATCTTCCAAGCGGTCCCGTCACCTCCAAGGCAGCAGCGCTGGTAGAATACGACTCGGACTGAGGTACACATTGGTTTTTGGCGTTTTGATCATTCTACATAGACTTTGATACCCCGTTGCAGAGCGCAACTGTTTACAATAAAGATGCCATTTTTTTCTTATTCCTGTTCAACCCCCCCCCCTCATGCTTCTTTTCATTCACAAGTCCTGCGTCCGCCAGATGCCGCTCACGTCCGCCTCGTACTTCCACCCGCGCCTCTCCATGTCGTCCCGCGGCTTGTACGCCTTCTCCGCCACCTCCAGCAAGCCGAGGTCCAGCTCCACCACGCGCATCTCCTCCGCGCCGTGCCCTATACGCGCAACCGCGCCCACCATCGGCATCGCCGCCTGCGACACCCCCGCGTGCTCCCTCCCCTCCGCGTCGTGCCCCTCCCGCACCGTCCCGGCCGCCGTCTCCGCCTCCGCGGCGGTCGCGCCCCCGCAGTTTACGTACACGACCGCGCAGCTGTTCTCGAACGCGCGCGCCACGCACATGGTGTCCAGGAAGAGCCGCTCCGCGTGGCGGTTCACCGGGTTGACCGGCTCGCCGACGTCGCGCGCGACCCAAAAGGACGGCACCACCACCAGGCGCGCCCCGTCCGCGGCCAGCGCGCGGAACGCCTCGGGGAAGCTGAGGTCCCAGCAGACGAGCATGCCGGCGCGCACGCCGAGCGGCGTGTCAAAGGCGATGTGGTGCGGGGTGGCGCCGTCGCCGTCGCCGCTCGGCGCCCGCAGGAGCGGCTTCTCCGGGTGCCACAGGTTGCGCTTCTGATAGCGCCCGCAGACCGCGCCGTCGGGGCCGAGGAAGTAGGCCACGTTGGCGAGGGCCGGCTCGTCGTGCGCGTCGGACGGCGCGGAGACGTCCTCGAGAAGCGTCCCCGGCACGATGCACACGCCGAGCTCGCGCGCGAGGGCCCGGTAGCGCGCCAGGAACTCGGGCGAGCGGCGCGCGCTCCCGAGCAGCGCCTCCCGTGAGCCAACCCAGCCCTGGAGGTGGTACTCGGGAAGGACGGCGAGCTGCGCGCCCTGCGCGGCCGCCGAGCGGATAAAGGACTCGGCCTTGGAGTAGTTGCCCTCGACGTCGAGGCTCTGTGTCGTGTGACGTTGTCAGTGAATGTTGTACCAGGCCGCGATGCAAATTTTTGCTGTAATTGAGGTGAATACCTTTGAGTAGAGTTGGATTAGAGCAACCTTGAGCTTGGGCATTGTGAAAGAAGATGGTACTAATTGTCGTCTCGTCTAAGGTAAGGAGTGAAGTTGTCATCATTTCCGCCACACCTCCGCGCGCCCTACGACAGACAATGGGGCGAACCGCGCGCCAATGACAAAGCCTCTCAGCCCAACTAAACCGAGCCTAAAGAAAACTGAGGGGTGGCCCATACCGATTGATTTTCATTACAAAACACCTAGTATCTAATAAGATCACTGGAACTAGAAATTGATGTAAACCCATGCCCTCTTTAACTCGTCGTCATGTCCCGCTCCAAGTTGAAAGCGCCGAATCCCAATGTAGAAAGCAAAACTCTGGTGTGTCATAAAATCCTCTCCCCCAAATTCCCCATCATTAACGTTAATTTAAGAATGCAGATGAATGAGAAGTCGTTAAATCATGAGATTCGTTAGTCATTTGCGTCGTTTCGTTGAATGTGGTCTTGAATATAGTCGGAAAGGATGTGTGAATGAATGGAAGCGATGCATCCACCACGAGCGCTTGGGTGGATGAAATAGTCAAGCCAAGGATTTCACCTTTGGAGAGTAAGCATTATTATTCAAATTCATCCATGGAAGGATATTAATCATACCTAGACCAAAAAGGAAGATGTTCCGCGTAATAGATGGTGCCAACTTGTAAGAGCCGAGAAAAACGGATGCTGCAGGACAGAAAATGTACGGCCACCAGCTCCAGCTTGTTCGGCTTAGAATTGTATTCTGGATTCGATTTGTGGAATATTCGACGCCTTGCAAAACACCCAGAATGCTCATGACAGAAGCGTGAGCGGAGTCAAGCTTATTTTGATGGTCGCTCTGAGAGCGGACCATCTCGTGCGAGGCCTTCTGCAGCCGATCGAGGTTCTGCTTCGAGTATCAGCTGGAAGGTCACATAAGGATGGCTCCACAAACCTTTTCGAGCATGTTTTGCTTTTCGATGACCTTGTCAGCTCGGAGCTCAGTCTCCTCCTGTGTCGGATCAGCAGGCGTTGTGATTCTCATGAAAGTCAAGCCTACCAGCTGGCTCTGGAGCCGAACCGACGAGGAGGCGGCGATAGCAATGGTTGCCATTATTGTTTCGACTCCTTCGAACGTATCCTTTTGGACTATTTGTAAAGCATTTGTATGCTCCATCGCAATTTGGATTTGATTTTTCCGAATGGATTCGAGCAAGACATTGACCATGTTGTGCAACTGCGTAGCATCTTCCAGTCCAGACTGTACCTCCAAAGCGGATTTCTTTTTCCCGTTAGAAAGTATTCGCTTCGTTATCAGAGTGACATACTTGCGAAACCCCCATTAGCTTATCATTAAGAAGGTGGTCCAGACTGTTGAGCTGGGACTTGAGTGACTCGGTGCGAGGGAGCAGAGAGTCGGCAGCCTCGGTTGTCTTTTGCATCAAATGGTCGACTCGGCGCAATTGCTCTTCGATCTGCACTTCCACCTTTTCTGAGAACTTCTCCATAATTTCCGCGATCTTTTTGTGTAAATGGATCGTTGAGTCTAGAGCTCGGATTAACTACGGCAAGGTACCAAAGTACAACAATCGCACCTTTTTCAGTTTCCGACTTTGCAATCTCGCAAAAACGCACAGCCTTGTGCCGGTAGCTAATCCACGTATTCCATGAGGAGTCGCATTGCGCTAGGCCTTCCAGGCATTTGTCAATCTCGACTGTGGAAACATGCAGATGCGGCGTTTTGGCGACGTCAATGGCTGCCAGAGCTGCTTCGCGAAACTTTGTGCACTCTCTCGGAATGACGAAACTGCCTCGCTCCAAATCGCAAATTGCCAACCCAGCAGCATAGGAGTCGACAAAATCTCTCGTCAGTCGCCCAGTGTCGGCAAGCTCCGCTGCTTCATCCTGGCCGTGGAGCAGATGACAGTTTTTGACGAGAAGCCGGGCCGCGATTCGGTGGCAGAGAGGCTGTGACTCGAGACTTTCAAGTTCTTTCAAGGCAGAAGTATAGATATTGTCGGAGTGTAGTCGATTGCCGGGCGGGGTGATAGCATCTAGACCGTCCGTGTATGTGTTAGGTGGCGATTGAGAAGCTGTGGGTTGTCAGTTCGGATCACAGTCCTGGTCTTTTGCGCAATCATACGGTTCAGCGCTTGTTGGACATTCCATGAGAAGCCAGCCGCGATTGGTGTGAGTCTGAAAAAGAAGAATAGAGTCTGCACGAGCTTTGCCATCGTCCCCTGTGTGGTCAGCTCATGAGCATGGGAGAAACAGGCAGGGCAAAAGTCGCTAGAGGCTTTTCAAGGAGACACTGAGAGAAGTGCATGTGTGACAGATTGATGAGATGCTCCAAGAAAATAACGGAACAAGGACGAACTCAAACGGCGATATTTGCCAGCTGGCAAGACGTGGCAGCAACTTGGCCTGGCAACTGCCGCACAACTTCACTTCATCAAAGTAGCAAACGGGCACATCAACATTGCCAAATACTTTGTTTTAGAAAATGATTGAATGATCCACGAAAGTTTCCCTGACGGCCGTTTGCACCCAATAATGGATTTAAGAGAATAACCTAATTACGTGCTAAATTAAAAATAATGTAGATCGCTACAGGGAGCAACCAGTTGGTTGGCGCCAAAGCCCTGCGCTTCTAATTCAAAGCGGCATATTAAAATATCATAGCATGTTTTTAAATGTCAAAATAATGCGAGCAATCAGGAGAAACAAGTAAGAGCTATCGAATTTTTTGGCCCCGCCTCGGTAACGTATGCCTATTTTCCCCTGGTGTAGTGAAGATGCAGTCCTTTCTTTACCTCATAATGTTGAAGTCATTTGCGTAGTGTGGATAAGCCGTCGAGACACCAGACTAGACAAAGTCAGTGCGAGATGGTATAGTAATCTCACAGCCATGGATGGCCATGACCAAAACCAACGCACAAGCAATTTTCTAACCAACGACCACCCACGATGCAACATACCAGTAGACTACAGTGGCATGAACAGTCTCTCTATACGAATAGTTCCTATTTAGTAATCCCTACCTAGCTATCAGGTTGGTACGTACTAACCTTTCGCACACTAGTTACATAGTTACTTCAACATCACCATGTTCGTTTCGGCCAGCTCCTCCCTCCCCCAGCTTCCCCCGCTCGATCCTACCAAGACTACCCAGCGTCAAATGCCTTTACTCCTCAATTACTCGGACCGCATGCGAGACCTATTCAATCGGATACGTAAGATATGCCCTAGTACAGTTTATATTTGCTCGAGCCTCTTGCTGATACTAACGCCCTGGATAGTTGGCCATTTGATCACATCAGTGCCTCCCTCTAGTTGCAGTTGAGCTTCAGACTCGGCGGCGGTTTCAGCGAGTCAAGTCAGCCAAAGTCTCCGTGTCGCTTTATGCCCCTGCTTGCCGACTACTCGCTCGGCTCTCGTCCTACGAATACTTTGCATATATTGGATCGCACCGCGGAGCGCGCGCTTTGAACCAGTTGAACCATGTCATGCGTCGGCTTATCACTACCGGGTGCCACCACGCTGATCCTTACTGTTACACTCTGGCTCGTGCTACGACGTGCGTCGGGAAGAAAGCTTCACCCCTGCGAACCTACCGTCGTCATCCCACCACGGATCCCATTCGTCGGACATCTCCTCGGCATGGCTTGGCAGGGGGGCCGGTAGATAAAATGTCTTGGGCATGCATCTGCCCTGCCCTGCTCATACCCTTGTCCTTGCATATCAAGACGGCCAAGACAGGGAAAAGAAGAGACAAGAAGAGACAAGAAGAAATACCCCAGCAAAAGTCCCATTCAACCAATAGGGGTGAAAAATAACCGAGTTTCTTTGCCAGTAGTGCCACGATCCCTGGCTAACCTTGAAAACTCCGATTGGGTTGTCGCGACTCCAGGAGCCGATACTCACCCTTCCCGTACCGGGATCTCGCATCTACGTCGTCACGAATCCGCACTTCGCGGCAGTCATTCAGCGGAACTCAAAGTCGCTGACATTTACCCCATTGATTCCAGACATTACCAAGCGGGTTCTTGGTCTTGATAATGGCACGGTCAAACTTGCTCGGAGGAACCTGGATCCCGCACCCGGTGACCCCCGCGGGCTCCTTGCAGACATGCATGATCTTGTCGACGGCTCGCGTGGTCCGGGCCGCTACCTCGACGCCCTCAGCTGCGAAGCCTCCCAAGAGTTGTGCCTGCAGCTACAGAGAAGGTGCAAACAGACCTGCAAAATAGACCGTCTTCTGGTGATCGCGCGGACCTTTTGGCGGTGATTCGCCACATGGTCGCTACGGGCACGGCACGGCATCTTTTCGGTGAGGTGAATCCCCTCTCCGAGAACCCTGAGCTGGAAGAGTCTTTCTGGAAGTTTGACGAGGGCGTGGGTGGGCTACTGGTTGGCATCTTGCCGTCCATCACGGCGTCTCGGGATTATTTTGGTAGAGAGAAGGTTGTTGCTGCCTTCGTTAATTGCCTGGAAACAACCATGATGCTGGTGCCTCCCAACTCATCCGCGATCGCATCAGGGTGGAACGAGAATGGGGAATGAGTGTTGAGGCAATTTCTCGTTCAGCACTCTCCTTTCTGTTTGCGGGGATAGTCAACACAACGACCACCACGTTTTGGATAGTGTTACGTCTGTTTTCCGACCCTGAGCTCCTTGAAAGAGTGCGCGGCGAGATCAAGACAGCTCTTGCAGCCAGTGAGGAGCAAAGCGGCCCTGACATGCTAAGCATCATCATTGCTCGTGACAGGTGTCCCACGCTCTCGGCTGTCTTCAGGGAATGCCTACGGATCGGCTCGGAGAACTTTTTGGTCAGACTCCTCAAAGAGGACATCATGCTGGCAGACAAGTACTTCGTCAAGAAAGGTGCTGTCGTGCAGATATCCTACGGCGTCATTCACTCTGACAGGTCAATCTGGGGCGATGACGCCGACCATTTCAACCCCGGCTAGTTCCTGGGTGGAAAGTCCAGCTTCTCGGGCTTCCATCCAGCTGCGTTTCGCGGCTTCGGTGGCGGCAAGACGCTCTGCCCGGGCCGGCACTTTGCTATCAACGAGATTCTGCTATTCTCTGCCATGATGGTCCTTGGCTTCGACTTTGAGACTCCAGATCAGATGGAGGCCATATCAGGGTGCCTCCCAAGAACGACCGTGTGATGCCCGTCCACGTCCTTGAGCCCAGCTTCGCGGATCGACCACAAGTTGTTATCAAACCATGAGACGAGGCTGACATGTTAAAACTTTCACTATTACCATGTGACTTGAACTTCTGTAGCCGCTTATTTCGAACCTGGTCACATAATTCCTTTCACTTCGTAGCCACCAGGCTTGTATACTGCACCACCCAATGTCGATGGATATAGGGTATGGCATCCAGGTGCCTGTGTTTTGCATGATTTTTTAACGTTATGCTGTTTGTTTATATCAAACAATAGTTTTATGTTATTCCGGCCGAACAACTGCCAGATTTCATGCTTTCAGCCTCCTAGCTCCAACCAACGACATTGTTCCAGCCTCCTCGGGCCGAAGGCATCGCTCAGCTTGATATCCCTTTTGATACTCTGTTGATACCCTTTTCTAACGATTCCCGCTTCTGACTGGTCATTGAACTTAGCTTCGACGTTGGCGCTTTTAAATCAATACCCAATAGCAATACACAGATGCAATACTCGTCACTGGAGTAGCGTGTAAGAGAACCCCGTCACCGCTACTGCCTCGTATGGGCCAGTTGAAGCTATCACTTACTGGGATCTTTACGCGGACTCTCTCCCACGATCCAGCCGGCATATCACCCGTCACATGTCCGAGAGCCTGGCCAGGGAGTAATATCACATTTCCGCAGAAGGGATATTTTTAACCACGACCGTGCGTTCCCCCAAGACGGAACACCGAGAAGGCTCCGTCAGCTCATCAAGTTCCTTCCCGCATTTTAGCTTTGCCAAGTCCATTCTTGACCTTTATGCGCCCGCGAACTTTTGGTAAAATAAGCCGTAAGTAGCAGTGGTAGTTCAACTTGGCATACACAAATCATATTGCATAAACGCCATATTTGGACAGCGCCGACGAAAGCTTACTCTGTGCGGTCGCGCCCGCGCATTCACGGGTAACCCGCAATGCCAAGAGATGTGACCTCGTCCTCTCCATTTCCGTAACAACCTTGGCTTGAGAGAGAATGCGTTCCGACGAGTGACGGAGGCACTGGTAGGTTGGGCAGGTTACGGAGAGCCCGCGCGCCGCGGCGTTGAGCGAAAAAGGAGAGAGGGCAAAAAAAAAAAAAATATCCTGCGATAACTGACGACAAAAGGCACTCATCGTTCATTTAGACGGAGAAGTCGAGAATCGGGCGCCGCGGCTTTTGCAAAAGGACCCGGTGGCCCCGCGGGGTCGCTAACTAACCAACTAACCAACTGCTAACTATTTAGTTAGTTAACCACAACTACTAGTTATCTAGTTTCCGTCGGCGGTCGGAAGAAGGCGTGAAAAAGTTCCGCTGGCACCCAGTAAACTTAAATTTTTCGTCCAAGTTTTCCTCCACCTGCAGCGGTCACGCCGCGATTCGGGTCATTCTTGGCTGCCTCTTGGGACTACAGCTCCTAATTGAGTTATTGGATACAGCCAGCTTTTTCAGTTGATGAGTCGGTAGAGATATCTCATTGGGCAATTTTTTAATTGACTTTTTCATTGTTGAGCGGATTCATATGCAGGGGTGCAGTTTTTCAAACGACTCATCCGCGGCCCCATGTCGGTTGTATTGGGAAGCCTTCATCCAGAAAATGGCTTCTTTTGCGACTTCAACAACACCATCACCTGCCGGCTTCCGTAGTTGGATTGCGCGGAGGGCTTGTAAACGTGGCCGAGGGTTTGGAGTGGTTAGTTCGTTGGTGTATTTGCCACTATCTACTCTAAAGTTCTCTCTACCCTGTCACGGCGATCCCTGAGCGAATGAGTTGGCATCAGGGTGAGGAATCAATCCACCCACGTCCACGAGTGCTTGTCGTGGATGGAATTGACAGCTTACTCAGCAGCGCTGTCGTGGGTTGAGTCCACGAAGCCTTCTCGTGGGTTGATGGCCACAATATTGAGGACCCATGTCGTCTCCACATCGATTTCCTAATTGAGTAATTTTGAAGCTATCGTGAAACCCCCTTACCCCGCCTCATCCTCGAAACTCCTCCGTTGAGCAATCCTCCCCAAGCCCCATTGATACAGCCCTGTCCAGCAGTATATTGTCAACATCCTTGATTATTCCCGCGCGTAGCCACGAGCGTAAGGTTTGGATAAGTCCAATTGTTCCTGCATCCATCCTGTTCCGCAGCGGAGTAACCATTAGCCCTGCTGCCGAGAACAGCCTCTCGCACTCTGCGCTCATGGCCGGCACTGTCATCACATCAAGTGCCATTCGAGACAGCTTAGGATACTCGAATCTCTTCAGGTGCCAATACTCCACCGGGTCAGCCACATCTCTGTCCAGCTCCGACATGCTAGCTTGCCAGCGTGCGTATTCATCTGCTCCGGCAGTGGGTGCATTGCTTTGCCGGTGTCTATTACGGTACCTATCAAATGAGGACAGCACAGTCTTCTGCTTTTTTAGCGCTGGCCCATCGGCAGTGGATGCGACTGTGATTTGCAGGTTACTATATTCATTGCTCCAGAGCTGCTGCACAATCTGCTTCGCTTCTTCAACCCATTCCGGGTGGTGCCGGCCCCAAATCTCGTCAAAATAAGTCCATCGCAGCCCAGGATGCAAAGCAGCGGCAGCGTAGTAGACCGGCGTGTCTCTCAAGGTATTATAGTACTTGTCCAGCTTCATCCAGCCAAGATTGACGTTAATGCCAAAATGCTCCGGCTCGGGATGCGTCTCGATCTGCGACTTTGCGTCTTCCAGCTTGCTCAGAAGGAACTCAAATGCCTCTAGCACGTCAGTCATCGAACCGAAGGTCTCTCGTATGCCGGAGGCGCGACAACGCGGCTGCCCATCGCCCTGGAGCGCTTGTACAACCACGTGGAAGTCCGAGAGGATCTCGTCAAAAGTCCTGAGCACCGCCCAATCGTTCTCGGTGAGGAAGCTTGACTCCTCAAGACAAGGAGGAAACCTCCGGCCTACCTCTCCTCTCCGGCCATCTCGGAAGATTCTCTTTGCTTTAGCAATGAACTCTTCATAGAAAGGCTGCAGTCGCAACAGCCGCTTGATCATGTAGTATTGGGATAGCCATCTGGTATCGTTGTCAATAACCACGTCGACTGGCCGTTGCTTCCCAACTTCGGCGTCGTCAGCTGCCGCATACGAGTCTTGTTGGATTTGGCGAAGCAACTGCGTCAGAACATCCGACCGATGGACCCAAATGGCAAAGTTGTGAGCTTTGCCGACGGGGCCTCTCCGCATCCACGTGTCGTGCGCTGCCCTTGCCAGTGCTTCGCCCTTCGCGACGGTGTCCTCAAACGCCTCGACATCTTTTCCAAACAGAAGGGACTTGACGACGAGATTGAGAATGTGGCCAACGCATCGAACGCGCCGTCGCACCGGATCGAAGTGCAACTCTTGCGCGATCTCGCGCATCGCCGTGTCGTTGTTCGCTGCATTGTCGAGGGTGAAGTAACCCACTTTGTCCTCGATGCCGAAGGAGCGAATAATGTCAAGGATCTCAGCAGCGATATTCTCGCCGGAGTGTCGTTCCACCAGCTCCGGAATGCCCAGGACAAGCTTTCGGAGTTGGTTGTCCTCATCTCGGAAGACAGCCGTCACGCCGTATAATGCGTGACGGTTTCTGGTCCTCGCGCCATCGAAAGCGATATGTATCTGGCCCGGAGACCTCCTCAATGCATGCTGAACGGCATCGCGATGGCGCTCGAACTGCTGAATAGCCAAGCTCTGGATAGTCTTAGCAGTAACATGCGCATCCTTGATACGCACCGCAGGATTCAGGTATTCGAATATTTGTCGCAGACGTGGATGTTCGACCTGCCTGAATGACTGCTGGCTCTCTACTATCCAGTTCACCACCAGCTTCTGGAACTCGGCTTGATCGAATCGTCGGATTAGGTTGTTCGCCAGGGCCTGGTCGTTAGGCTCCAAACGTTTGAGGCCCATGAGGTCTGTGATCGATGCGAAGGCTTTCCTTCCCTCTTTCGTCTGCAGTGGCGTTCGTCGTCGTCCTGACGGATCCCAGTAGCCGTGAGACTTCCAGAGGTGGTGCTCGGCATTCTGTGTGCCTCTTGATTCGTATGACTGTGGTGATGATGCTTTTTGGCGCACGCACGGCATGCAGATCCATCGCCTGGACGCTTCTGATTGAATCTCAACGCCGTAGTCCCATATCCAAGACACCGTATCCTTGGTTCGTTCGGCTAGTGTGAAGCCCTTCCAGACGCGGAATATGCGCTGCTCCTCATCTGAGGATGGCGTCCAGGATGTCAAAGGAATTTTTCCCGCGTCTAGAAGGGCAAGCCTCGGGAGCAGTAAAGCATCGTGCGGGGTATCATCGCTAGCTGGTGTTTTAGGTTCGATGTTGGTAGTTACTGGCTCGGCCATGTTTCAGCTGCCAGTCGCCTCGTGTTGCAGGTGGCCTAAAATGGCGACGCGTCGCAGGACGCGACAAGGCGCGCCCGCCGTACTGTAGTGGGTGGATAGTGCCGACAACTAGTGTTACGTCGGCCCCAGCGAGCGACTTAGGTTGGCCTCTTACCCTGCAGCAGAGCTTCCGTTTCTCGCGATGCTGGACGACTGGTCAATCCATCCATATCGTCCATCAAAATGCGCAGCACCGTGGATTGGTTGATTATGTAACAATTCAAGTCGTGGGTTGACGTTGACGCGTGTTGAGGTCAATATATTGGTCAACCAGTGGATTTCGTGGATTGATTCCTCACCCTGGTTGGCATTCTTGTCATCCCATCGACTCGTATGATTATTGTGATGTTATACTTACCCCTAATTTGGGCATACTTCGGTGAGA